CCTAGACACTCCAGGGAAGGTGTCAGTGAGGAATATTTGGGTGTGGTTTATCTTTGGTCTGAGAAACATCAGAAATTGTGAAATACCAAATATCAGGAGCACCTTTCAGGTCTGTTCAGGGACAGTGCAGGATCAGGGATCTTCCAGCTCAGCATCCAGAGAGGGCTGAGGGAACAGCGGGCACACAGAGGGGACAGATGGGAGGGGACAGTGAGCAAGACACTGAAAATGTGCTGTGATGGGCCCTTCCCAACACGTCACCTCAAGGTGGTTTGTGAGACAATGCCCTGGAATTCGGCAGAAGAATTCCCTCACCTGTCCTCGCCTTGTCTGAAACAGCCCCTGAGCCGTCACCCCCTTGTTGTGCAAATATTTAATGCCTTCTTTAAACAGGTGCAGCCCAACATTTGAGAAGTGATTGTTGTGTTGCAATCGCTGTTTAACGGTGACACTGCACTGAATCCTTACCAAATCAGCCCAGGTTTCGAGGGGGGGGGTTACTGCTGTCGGGTAAGTAAATGTTGACTCAAACAAACTGAAGTTGTGGGGGGTGAAAGGTTGTTCTCAGCGTCCACCAGGATCTACCTGCGGGAATTTCTTTGAAGCTGGGCTAGAGAAGCTCCATTTTTGGGATCTGGAGCTCTGTCCCACCACCTCTGGAGAGGCAGAACTGCTGTAAGAGCTGTCCAGGAGCCCACATTTCAGCTCTGATGGCTGCTTTAATCGCTGCTTGTTTCTCAACAGGCCCGAGCAAGTGCCCCCTGTTTGTTAAACCAGGCAGGGCGGTGACTGCAGGTTATTAATTGGTGTTATTTATTGCCCCTCTTTATTCTGGCTGATGCTATCTCTGGGCATGTGAGGGGATGTGTTTGCTGCTGAGTTTGTTTGAGTTGTCCATAACAATTTTTCTGTTCCATAACCAGTCCCAGAAGCAAAAGAAAATGAACCAAATAAATAGCTTTGCAAAATTATGCATGTCTCTTTTGAATGCCACAGGTAACAGTGATAACCTGCAATGATTTACTGCCCCTGTGTACAATACATGTCCTTTCACTTGCCAAGGGTTTAGGTCATTTCATAAATATTCCAGTTGCTTAGCACAACTTAATTTGGGGAAGTCCAGCAAACGAGGATCCTGCAAAAGCTCACGTGCTGGAGACTTTATGTCCACACTCAAAACACAATTATTTTGGCTTTAACACAACTTGCCCCTTTGTAAAAAGAATGGGGTCTGCCTCTGCTGACACTGAACATAAGTGTTTCCCTTTGAAAAAAAAAACAACAAACCTATCCATGATCTAAAAGTATTCAGAAGCCAAATTACCCTGAAAGAAAATGAGCCACACTAAACCAACACACATATTTTTGTGCCTAGAGGCAAGGCCAGCCCAGCAGTGCATCAGAAGATCAACTGTCCTCGATTTATCCAGCAAAATAGCTGGAGACTAGTTAACAATAAGATCTTGGGATTAATTATGGAGACTAAATCAAGCCATAACTATTGACGAGGATAAAGAAAAAGCCCTAAACAATTCAGTTAAAACCAAGTAACGGAGCTTGTTCTCAGTCACAGCAAGATGGCGAAGATAAAAGTGGAAAAGTTGCACAACAAAATAAACTGAATTTTGTCCACATTCACTGTGTGACATTCCAGTCATCTGGCAGTGATTATGAGCCAGTGAGGCCTGTTCCATACAAAGGGTATAGAAATAGCCTTCAAATATGAAACAAATTAGCAATAACTGGCCTCTAAACAAGCATTTGATGGATGAAAAGAGAAAACGCAAACCTCAGAATGCTTTGTGGTGCAGCTGCCTGAACCAACCCTCATTCCCGTTTCCAAAGGGTCCAAGTCAGCTGTGGCACAAGTGTGATGCAAACTTGGGATATTTCCCAGAGTGTCCTGGTTCCTGGAGGGGAACAGAGCAGGGAAGAGGGAGAGAGGCTCAGGAACAGCTCTGTCCTCTCTGAGCCTGGTCCAGGTTAACTGGGATGAGAGGGTGAAAATGCTAAAGGAGGACAAAGCCTACATACACCAGACTGGAACTAACCAGGATGTATGGAATCATGGAATGGTCTGGATGGGAAGGACCTGAAAGCCCAACCAGTCCATGGGCACCTTCCACCATCCCAGATTGCTCCAACCTGGCCTTGGACACTCCCAGGGATGGGGCACCCACAGCTTCTCTGGGCAACCTGTGCCAGGGCCTGCCCACCCTCCCAGCCAGCAATTCCTTCCCAATATCCCATCTAACCCTGCCCTCTGGCAGTGGGAAGCCATTCCCTGTGTCCTGTCACTCCAGCCCTTGTAAATGCTCTCTAACCATGTTTCTTGTAGCCCCTTCAGGCACTGCAAGGCCACAATTGGCTCACCCTGAAGCTTCTCTTGTCCAGGCGGGACAATCCCAACTCTCCCAGCCTTTCCTCCCAGCAGAGCTGCTCCATCCCTCTGATCAACCTGGTGTCACCTCTGGACTCGTCCCACAGGTTGGATCACTCACTTCAGCTCCTTTTGTTGGGATCTTCCACACTGCAGAGCTTCGTTTTGCTGTCACCCAAGAGCCTGAACCAGCCTACCTTGAGGCCTGGCTGCTGGAGGATGCACTTCCAGCTTTTATGGGTCAAACCTCCCCCCCAGGGCTTACAAAAAGTACCTTTTCTAGATGCTGTGGAGGCCCTAAAGCTGTGCTTGTCCATGTTTACAAACATCCCCCGCCTTGTTCAGCATTTGTGTTTTTGTTTTCCCCGAGTCAAATTGTTCTGTAAATTCAGAGTCCCGCTGGATCGACAGCAAATTACAGCAGCGTAATCCCTGCAGAAGTGTTGGAATCCCTGCAGAAGAGTTAGGAAACTGCCCCGGGATTGTCCCTGCTTTGTCACACGGGTTCTCTGCCCCTGGGCTCTCACAGCCCCTTTGTTGCCCTCGGGAGGAAGGAAACAACCCAATCCCTGCCTGATCCAGAGAGCAGGAAGAGGAGGGGAACCGAGGGAAAGGGAAGGGCACAGGGTCATGGATGGGGTCAGCATCACAGGGCTCAGCTCTGAACCTCCAGGCTTTTCCAGCAGGAGAGACAATGCTAGGTTTACAAAATTTTACCTCTTTTTAAGCTCTTACCTCTCACTCGAGCCTCCGGAGTGCCGCAGGAGCTCAAGCAGCAGAGCCGTGAGTGTGAAAGGTCTGTTCGGGGTGGGTCTGAGCCCTTCCCTGCAGCAGCTGCAGCACATCAGCACATCAGCACATCAGCACAGGGATGGGGCTGGGATCGCTCAGCCCTCACCTCCTGCCACCCCACCCTCCTTACATCCTGCACCACAGCTGTCCTCACCGCTGACCCTGCTTCCCTTCCACGGACCTGCACTTCCCCTGCTCCCCTTCCACGGACCTGCACTTCCCCTGCTCCCAGGAAATCCTCAGGGCTCCTCCTGCATCCAGGCTGCGCTGCGAGGGCACGAAGGGAACAGCGGGACACAATCGGCACTGCCCCGACCCCTTCCAGTGTCAGCTGAGGAGAATCCCTCACCCTTTGGATGTCGTTTGGAAAGGAATATCGGAGCTGTCGTCACAGCGAGGGTAGATGAGGAAAGGCCGGATCTCGGTTCCTTCCAGCTAGAACAGAAAATACCAGAGACAAACATGGCAAGTGTCCCAAGGAGGAAAAAAATTAGCCTGCTCCCTCTCCTAAATTTGACACCAGGCAGGGACACCTTCCACCAGTCCAGGTTGCTCCAACCCCAATCCAATCTGTCCTGTGTGATATATGGATGTGAAGATACCAACTCTTAATTACAGGATTTGTTTCAGGAAGAAAAAAATCAGAATCTCAAAGAAAATTAGGACAATTTACTGAGCTGTCTGGCACAGAAAACAGAGTTATAAAGAAGGATATTATACCTTTATTGTAATAGTTGTAATAATGTAAAAATTGTAGTAATTTCCCTCACTGAGGGAAGCCTCAGAAATACTGAATTACAAGTTCTATGAAAAAGCATTACAGTAATAAAAAGAGACTTAAAGCTCCACAGGAGACAGCTTAAGTCTTTAACCAGAATTCTGATTCACTTCTCTGAGGTCCCAGCCCAGAAATATTCCCCAGTACACATCCAGAAGCATAAAAATAGACTCCCAGCTGCACATGCAAATACCCCTTTGCTTGGATGGTAACAGAGCAGGTCATTAAAACCCAGCATTTTAAACACAGGAAGGGTTGCAGTCTTTTACATTTTACCACTTTCAGTCTCTCCAAGAGATGCTTCCAGGAGCAGCAAGGCAACAAGTCTCCCAAAAACCACCTTAAGGGAATCTGGCCGCTGTCTCTGTTAATTTTCTTCCCGTTACAAGAGATACGACCACACTGGTTCCAAAAACCTTCACTCAGTGAGATTTATTTCAGGGAGGAATGCTTCCCTCTGCTTCTCGTGCACAGCTTTCGGAATATTTCAGCTGTGTCCCGGGGAAAGCACGCCTGGGTTCTGAAAGGAGCCTTCTGAAGTAATTTTGGGAAGTGCTGAGTTGTTGTAATGCTGAGAAGGGGCTGAGTGTGGTTTTTTCCATGTAATTCCCTGCGTTTGTTCTGACCTGTGCCGTTGTGACGGCACATCTGTCTGGGAGCAGCAGATGTTGCTCTCCTCGCACAGATGTTGCTCTTGGCTGAGGGGTCCTTCTCTCAGAATCCTCACCCCCTCTTTATGTCCCACTCTCACCCCTCAAGCCCTTCATCTCCCCGGTCCCCCCCTCAAGTCCTGGCACCCCTCCATCCCCCCTGGCTGCCCCCAGATAATCCTCTCTCAAGTCCCCCTCCATCTCCCCTTAGAAACTCTGGTCCCCTTTGGACAACCCTGAAATTCTGGCTCCCCGCTCCCCCTCGGCCCCCCTGGTTCCTCCGCACCCTCCCCTTCCCTGTCCCGGTCCCCGCGGCAGGTGGGAGGGCTGAGGGAAGGGGAGTAGCCCGGGGCCAGGACTCTGCCCCGCTATTTGTGCCGGAGCTCGGCGGGGCCGCCCCAGAGCCTCCCGCACCATGCCGGGGCTCCGCACCGTGCCCGGCCCGCCCGCCTTCCTCCACCTCCTCCTCCTCCTCCTCCTCCTTCCCGCTGCCATCCCCGCCGATCAGCTGAGGCCCGGGAGCCGTCGGGCCGCGGTGGCAGCGGCGAGGGTGGCCCTGCAGTACCGCAACTTCCAGAAGGGCTCGCCCGGGCGGCTCTGGGCGCTGGGGCAGCTCCGCAAGGCCACCGTGAAGGTACGGGGGGAGCGGGGGCGGTGCGGGGGCTTGGAGAGACGGAACAGCAATTGTTATAGTGTTGTTGTTGTATATAGCTGCGATTAGCAGTAATTATTATGTTAATTGTTATTATGCATAACCTGAGGGTGCCCTCCCGCCCTTCTCGGGGTCCGCTGTCCCACTGCCCCTTCCTCGGGTGGCTCAGGGCACCTGGATCACCTCAGGGACCACTGTCCCAACTCCCCTTCCTCCGGGACACCTGGGCCCCCTCCAGGACGGCTGTCCCACCATCCCTTCCCCAGGGACAGCCGGGTCCCGTCGGGGGGTGCTGTCCCACCGCCCCTTCCTCAGACCGAGAGCTTCATCCAAAGGCGATGCAGTTCCCATCGGAAAACGCAGCTCTATCTTCCAAAAATCACGGCAAACTGAGGTGACAGGAAGGGGCAGGAGTCCCCGAGAGGAGCAGCTGCGGGGGCAGATCCTTCCCATCCTGGATCCTGTCAGGGATGCTCGAGGTGGTGTCGGGGTACCCACACTCTGCTCCCCAAAGGATGAGCACTGTGCTCTGCAGCTTCTCCTCCTCCAGCTTTGGGGGGTTTGTTTTACAGCTCCATCAGTTTCGGAAGGCAAGAAATCAGGCAGAAACTTCTGGGGAATGTTTGTCCCGGGCTGTAGATCCTGGAAGGAAAGCAGTGCCTTCCTGGAGAGCCGAGGGGATGAGATTTAAAGCCAGCCCTCGGGTCCTGCTGCTGGGCAGCTCCCTGAAGCTGCTTGGCTTGGATTCCAGAGGGCACTGGATTCCACTGGATCCTTTCCATGGCTCTGGAGACCTTACAACACTTGTCCTCCAGCATCTGCACGGCGTGTGCAGTCCAGACCCCCCTCTCCTAAAACTGGGAGTGTCAGATCTTCCCTTTCAAGAAAGAAGTTCTGAGCCAGCCTAAAAAGTTTAGGATGTGCCGTTGCAGTCATTACAACACCCAGCTTGATCCTCAGTCTCTCCCGTAAATCCCACTTGGCAATGGTTCCAAAACAATTTGAAGCCTGGCTTGTACACAGTATTTAACAGGTCAAAAGAATTTCCAGTTAAATCTGACAAAACACAAAATTCTGCGTGAAAATTCAGACTTTGGTGTAGTGCAAGGCTGAAAGACAAGTGTTAGCCCTGCCTGGGAATCCTGCTGTAGATTCATCTGGGATCCTGCCCTTTAGGTAACTCTGTGTTATCATCATTCCCAAATATGCCACTAAATATAACTTATTAGGTGCTGAGCATGGACGTGCTCGTGGGACATTCCTGACAGGAACCTCCTGTGCTGTTTTATACTTCTTTCCAAACAGAAAAATGCTCCTTCTGTATCTCCTGGGCAGTTTGCATGTGGATATATGGATATATTTCCATATATAAATACTTGTGCCTGGCTGAAGAACAAGCTGGCAGCGCTGCCATTCCCTGGGAAAGGGACTATCAGCAGGAAGGGGTTGGTGCAGATCCCCTCCCCAGCTGAATATTTGGGTCGTGGGGAGGGAAAGGGATTTTTCCCCCCACTCTCAGCCACCTGCCTCCTAATGTAGGAAAGAGAATAGTTGGTTTGTTGTAGAGAAGTGAAATTCCTCCTTACTTCCTCCCAGCTCTGGACGAGGAGCTCGCTGGAACCACTCTCCGCAGTTTAATTCCCCTTTTTCTTTGCACACTCTGTGAAAACAAGAGGAGAAAAAGTGCTGAACGTGGTCACTTCCTTCTTTCCTGTCCTCCACTGGAAAAAAAACGACAAGAATTTCCTGGAAGGAATGTGCTGGATTAGAGGAAGGCAGGAGACAGAAATGTTGGGGTTCAGGGGGTTTTTTGGTTTGTCTGGGGTTTAATAATTTTTTTTAAGCAGGGCAAATTTCCTATTGGTTACTATATCAGTGGATCTCATAAAAGCAGGATGGTTTTATCCTGGAATTCAATAATGAGCACTGCAGTTCAATCCTGACACTATTAGCCCACGAGCTGGTGAAACTGGTAATTGGAAACAGGGCTGGAGACAGTCCCCAGTCTGGAAAGGATCTTTCATGTTCAGGTAAAATGAGACTTCAGGGCTTTTCTGTCCTGCCAGCAAACAGCAGAGAGATGCCAAACGTGGAATAATGCCTGCCTTGCTGGTTGCTTTTTGTTTTGTGCCTTCTGTTTTCTTGAGTGAGGGTCCTCCAGGAAACAGCAGCTCATGGAATTGCTGAAGCAGCTGCACTTTAAAATACACTTTAGATAAGAAAAGTATTAGTTTATGCCAGCTGAAGATCCCAGAAGTCAGGAGGGAAGCTTTCCAAGCACTGATGTAGCATTTCCCATCCCAAGCTGTCCTGGAAATAAGAACCTAGGAGGAGGTGAAGGGTAAAGGTAAAGCCAGGTGATCTCGTGGCTAAACTGCAAACATTTGCTTAAATTTGTCCAAGAAAAAAAAAAAAATCCATCAGGAAAAGCTGCAAGGATTCCCAGCCCGGAAATAAACCAATCTTGTGACCCAGATATTCAATGGAAAAATGAATTACTCACTTGTTTTCTTCTCTTCTGGACACTTTTATCTTTGGCTGCTCTCAGATATCCCCGAAGCTCGGAGGAACTCGCACTCTGGGAGGGTTTACAGATGAGGGTGGGAAATAATATGGGAAGGCAAGTGATGTTTTCCTTCTCCCTTCTCCCTGGGGGGCTCAAAGAAGCCCCCCAAGCCTGAATCTGTATTTTAACTGTGGAGCATCATGGAAAGCTGTCTAGGCAGGAGCAGTGCAGAAGCAGCAGCAGTACCTGTTCTTGTGCTGTGGTGGAGTTGTTGCTAAATTTATAATATTTATAAATATTATATATTATTATTATATTATATATTATTTCTTATATTTTCAAGTCCTGACCCTTTCAGGTTCTCTCATGTGCACTGATGGCCCAAAGGGAACAGGCCTGGCTCACTGGGCTTAAAAATACCTAAATTTGATCAAATTAGGAATGTTATAAACCACTGCAAAAACAGCTCTAGGGTTGCTCTACAATAATTAGAAACTTAGACTTAACTGCAGTGGTTCCTGTGACAGATTAGACCCTTCTTTCTTATGATTTCATTTAATTACTGATTCTTTGGCACTCCAGGAAGTCAGTTCTTCCCATTTTGCTGTGCTCATGGCACATCCTCAAACAGAGATATTTCTGAACTCAGTCTGCAAGTTGGCAGGAAAATAAAAGACTGACCACGAAATAAAGAGCAGATAATGCAAAGACTTGTTACTGGGCTCTGCTCTTGCACAACTGGGTGAGGTAATCCCAGGGAAATGAGTGTTTTTCGTGGCCAACATCAAAAGGCAGTTTCTGCTCCAGCCTGCCTGGAGCTGAGACAGAAGATCCCACTCTGAAAGGCTCATTTGTTAACTGAAATCCTCAAGTTAAAAACCCCCAAATCCAAGAAAATTCCACTTTTCAGAGATGTTCATTTCTAAGACTTTTCAGGTGCTTTCCACGGTTGGCTGAACCTTTTCTCTTGCAGAACATCCCAGACCTGGGGCACAAGTATTACCTGCAGTTCAGCACAGAAGATTACAGGACTGGGGTGAGTTTGGGGTCCTCTGTGTTCCCCCTGACCGTGGGCACGAGGTGGAACTTCAGCAGCTCCAAAACAGGGCCATTTACCAGCTCAGTAAATGGATTTTTCCCAGTGGAAAGACCTTTGTGCTCCGCCCTGCCTGTCTGAGCACCTGAGAGATCATCAGCCCTCAGTCCTGCAGGATTTCAAGTCACACACTGTGCTTATTATCCCACTGCCCACACCCCAAAGAGGGGATCATGAGCTGACAGCTGCATGTTCTCCCCAATTCTAACCCCCTCCACTGTCCCTGTCACACTTGTCACCAGCAATGTCACTGCCCTCTTCCCTCACACACCGTTTGTGGAACTCAAACTGTTTTCAGGACTCCATCTGAAGCATTAGATTATTTCTGTTTCAAGGCTGAAGTGTCATCCAGTGAACGTCCCTGTTATCAATCAATGTTATTTCTTAAAACTCTCAAACATATTTCCAAGATGACTTGGTGCATTAATCAAAACCTTCCACGAAGTCCCTCCGGCCTCGAGGTTTTAAAACATTTATTTTTCTTGGGGGGGAAAAAAATTATATCCTTCTGAAGAAAAATTATATCCTGACCCTTGACCAGCTTCATCCAAAGAATGAGTTGCTGGTAACTAAAATCTTGACCAAAGGTAAGAGTTTGAAATTCTCCCTTGACAGGAAAACGCTGGGAACTGCCTGGCCACCGTGTTGTATCCAAGGAAAAAGACTCCTCCTGTTGTCAGCATCAAGTGCTCCAACACCAAAGACCAGAAGGAAATCCAGGAAGAGGACAACAGATTCTACCAAAGAATTAGGCAGCAAACCAAACCAATAACTGGGAGCAATATTCCAGGTATGTTCCTGCAGACAATCAGCTGCGTTTCACTTTGTCTCACAAAGACACAAGCAAACACTTGCACATTATTGACAGCAGCCCCCTTAAACCACAGGGCTGCCAAAACATTCCCCCTTCCAGGGGTCCTCTGGGAGAACAAACCCCCCTTGCATTGAACACTGGCATCAGCACCACCTCGGGAAGGTGGTTGGGGTTTAAAGGCACCATTTTCAATCCAAGTTAATGCAGAACGTCCTTCAGGAATAACAAGAGCCCAAAGCCACAACCTCCCCAGCCGCAGCTGGAAATTCACTGGGCATGACTGGCAGAACTTTTCCATCCTGGAAAAATTCTGTCTTTCCCTCCCAGCTAGGTAAGGGCTTCCATCATCCTGGACTGTGGGGTTCTCACCCCACTGTGGGACCCTGTGAGTGTTGCCTTTGGGCCACGGCAGTCCTGCCACACTTCCCTGCTTTCCTGGGATGCAGGTTTAGCATCGTGCTCCTCCCTTTTCCCTGGGACAGCTCAGGGGGAAGAGTCTCAGCCCAGGCCCAAGTGCTGTCTGGATGATCATTTCCCAGCTGAGCAGCCAGAGTGAACAGTGTGTGTATTTCTGTGTGCCCTGCAGACAGCTATGGCAACATTGAGCCTGCCCTGGAGCCAGCCTGGGCTCTGGCTGTCGCTGGCAGCAGCTCCATCATGTGGGAGAAATCCACAGAGGACCTGGGATACTTCCTGGCACAAGTGAAGTCGGTGAAGCAATGGGTGAGTGGGGCAGGGAGCAGAACCCCCCAGCTCTCGCTGCTCTAGTGGGTGGGATCCCCCAAACCCCAGGGCCTCCCCTCCACCAGCATTTCCACCTCTGGACAGGCACTTTGTCCAGCTGTTGGTGGGAAAACTTTACCCATTTGGACAAAATTCGGCTTTCCTTGTTGCATGACTGGCATCTGCAGGTCCTGCAGTTCATCAGCCCCTCACCAAGTCCCTCCCACACCCCCTGACCCTTTGCCAGGCTCAGGCATCATCAGGCTCAGACCTGGCACAGATACCTAGCTTGGGGAGCAGATCTGCCCCCCCCAGCATATCAAACAGCAGCTCCCAGAGCTCTGTGTCCCTGGGATCCACAGGCAGGACCCAGTTTTTGCTCCAATCAGCACAAGATTTCTCTGAAGGAGAGATGAACAGGCAAATTCATCAAATTCATCAGAGGGTTAAATCCAATTAATTGGCACCTGAGCCAGCCTGGTTTCATGGCAGAGTGGGGCTGCAGAGCCACACAGCAGTCATTGCCTTCGAGAATTCCATGCAGGAATTGCTCATAATTCCCTGTCCTTCCATGATCAAAACCCACCTCACTCCAGTCAGCAACCACAGTCCCTGAGCAAGCTCAGTACAGTCAAGTAAATCAAAGCAGAAACCAAACTCCAACCATACAAACTTGTCTTCCTGATAATCCTTTTTTTTGTTTCCATACCCAGATGAGGAAAGATGATTTCATTGAGTTTGATTACACCGTCCTGCTCCATGAAATGCCAACACAGGTAAGAAACGGGGGCATGACCCCTGCCTTCCCCAGGAGCTGGGCAGTGCAAAGGTGCTAAAATAAGCATCAAATCAGTATTTCCCTGTAACAGAGGTGTTTCTCCATCCCTTCTGCAGGAGATGATCTCCTGCCACATGCGCCTCACGTGGCTCCCGGGGCACCCTCTGAGAGAGAAACACTTCTGTGCCTCCCAGAACCACGGGCTGGAGGAGGGATCCGGGCTGGGCTCGGGATCAGCTGCTGGGCTTTCAGAGGAAAGGGGGACCAGCTCCTGAGGGAGATCCACACCATTCCTGCATCCAGGGAGCACATCCCTGTGCTGCCAGAGCTGGAGCTGGGACCGCTCTCCCACCCCGGGCAGTGATTGGGATGCTTTCACTACTCTGTTCTGTGCCAAAATTAACTCCTGTCCCTTCTCAAACTGCAAGACTCGAGTTCTAGAGAGTTCTACCTGAAGCCTTTGCTACTCCACACCTACACAGCTGAACACACCCAGGTTGATTCCTTGTCACTGATTACCTGTAACGTAGAGTTTGTAAACAAAGTTAATATATTGGGGGGAAAAAAAATCGCCAGGAAAGCCTTCATCTGCCACGAAGAAATCTTTGCCTACTGATTTTTTTGGGGGTCATTTTTCGGGATGGAATCGTGCTGGTTTTCAACTCAACCTCTCCAATAAACCAAATGCCATCACTCAGGGGCGAGGCTGGGTTTTCTTTCACTGTGCTGCTCTTGCACCCCAGGTTTCCACCTTCTCTGCGAGCTCAAACCAGAACAGACCTGCAGAGCCAGGAAGGCTCCAGATGGATGGATTCCCATCCCCTGAATTTGGGATGGGCAGGACACCCATCAAACAGCTCTTCTTAGTTCCTGCCCTGTCCTGTTCCCATCCTGACCACCACAAAGTCCTGGCTTTGTCCTTTGCCACCAAATTCTCCACTTGGGTTCCCAGTAGATCCACTCCCATCCCACACTCCTCCCTGAGATTGTGCCAAACTGTCTCAAATTCCCCTTTTTTCTCCCCATTTGCCAGGTTTCTGCCAGGATAGATTAAATCCTTACCAAGAACACCCACCCCATTCCTGAGGAAAAAAGGTGCTGGGATGGCTGTTCTCTGGGATTTGTGGTGGTTTGCATTATCCTGGATCTGTAACCAGCAATAACAATGATCCCAGGGTTTCACAGGACAGTTTTCCCTGCAGGTATTTAGGTTGGGTGATGCCAACCCCACAGACTCCAGGGTTTTACACACACAGATTATTCAACCTGATTTCCTGATTAAAGCTTTTTCTCTCAGCACACCACAATAAATTCAGGGCAGCAGCACCCCACATCCTCCTGGGGTTTTCTTTTGTGCTGGTGGAACATTTCTCCTCATCCAAAGCATGAAATCAGAGCCGAGAAGTTCAACAGTTCTTAAAGAAGCTGGTGATTAAAATAGTTTTTGGGGATATAAACAAGAAAATAGGATGGATTTTGCACTTTGGGGCTCTGCTTTAGCGTCCTTACCCTGTTTTTGCCACGGCTCTGCAGACCTAGACCAGAGGATTGGGCACTTTCCCATCACCAGGTCATGTAACTCCAATTACTTCCCAGCAACACCAACTTACAGCAGTTAAGAAACTCCACAGGAACTTCTGGAGAAGCAGCAAAGCTGCTGGAATTCTAAGGCAGCTGCTTTTAGGCCAAGATTTCAGCCTAGAACTTAAAATCATACAGCAAAATTCTTGGGGTTTTGTTTTTTTTCCAGACTTGTGGAGCAGCAGCCCATGTGGCAGCACCCACGAGCCAGGAATTCACACACCACACTGGCCTAAGCAGAGCATGAAAACCAGAAATACAAATAAAATCCCAACCACCCCATCCATCCCTTTCCTGTTTCCACACTGCTTTCATAAGCCAACCCTAAAGTTTGGTAAAAGGTTTGTTAAAAGGAAAATCTCCCAAGGCCTGAGGAGTTGCAGGGCTTTTCTGGAAATCAATCTCCTCCTTCCCATGGAGCTGCAGGGTCCTCGCTGTGTCTCTGCAATGAGTCAGCAAGATTTTAGTCAAGTGATTCCAGCACGGGCTGGACACACCCTCAGGATTGGGACATTCTGGGAAGAGAAAGCTCTGCTTGGGTTTTCTAACAGAGAGCCAAAGCCAAGTCCATGCGATGAATCCACATCACCAAGCCCCTGCAGGAATTCCAGGCTGTTCCCAGCTTTGGGAAGGGTTAACTCCTACCAGCACTCTTGTCCACTCTCCAGGGAAAAGCAGATTTGGTGCCAAGGCAGTGGCACTGAGCGATGGCTTTGCCTGGTGGGTGGACACTGGGGAGGATCCTGTGCCATTTCTGGAGGATTTGGAAGGGAAAAGTGGCATTTTTCCCTGGAGGGAGGCTGGGAGCACCCTGTGAGGTGATGACAACTCACCCACCCCCTGTGCCCGTCCTGCAGCTCTTACCTGACTCTCCCGCCTCAACCTTTTCGAACTTCCCAAACCTGATTACACAATAACGATGTAGCAAGTAAAAAATACAATTATTTTAATAGAACTTAATTAAGATAAGCTTCAAGACCAGTTATCAGCCGTGTTCTAGCATATATTTCGGTAAGGACAGCATTTACACGTGAACAACTCCGCTGTGATCCTCTGGTGGCTCCTGAGAATTCCACAGAGGAAGGGCATGATGACAAAATTCCAAGTCCAAATCCCACTGCAGCCTGCCTTCCCCAGCCAGCCTTGCCTGCTTCCATGGCTTGGAAAACTGAGCTCTTGGAGGAGACTGGGAAAAAGTGTTCAGAGAAGTCTGATCAGCTCTTGGCTTTGCCCTTTTTGGCAGGAAGTCGCCCCGTTGCTTCCAGGTATTTGTTGATAATTTCTTCCTGAGTGCTGGGTGAACATGGGTGGTATCTGGAGTATTCCATGGTATATTCCCCCTTTCCCTGTAAAATTGGGAAAAGGAACTCCAAGTGAGGATGGGATATATGGAACCCTGCAGAGCAGCAGGTCACAACACTCAAGGATCCTTTACAATCCCACAGAGACAAAACCCAAAGCGTGGAAGAATTTTTTGCCCAGGAATGAGCCAGCTCTGGGTTTGGTTTTTATCTCCCTCCCTGCTGCAGGTGCTGTGGATACAACGATGCAAAGCAGCCCAAATTTACAGAAATAAAAGCTCACCTCTGTGCAGGACCTCAGCTCGGTGGCATATCCAAACATATCGTTCAGGGGCACCTGAAATCCAAACACAGGCTCGTAAAAACAAAACACTTTGAGTTACCACCTAATTAATCCCAATTCTGATACAAAGGGTCAGTGCTGCCTGCAAAAAGCTCGGGTTTAATGACCTGTTGTTGTCAAGTTCCTGTTATTTTTTAACTCATTTACACTTGCAACGTGTTTTCAGCAGGAAAGTTCAGAAACCCGAGAGTTGAATGCACCAGGAACTGGAATATCCTGGATTCAGGGCTGTGTCACCCAGAGATCACAGGGGGTTGAGATAACTCCAGACTGGGGCTCTAATGGAATTCCTCAGCTTAGGGAGCAGAAGGGATGCAGTGCATTTCCCCTCCCACCACCCAACAGGAAAACACACCTTTTTAGAAGGGACACAAGAAAGGGAACGTGGAAACCGAGTCAGCCTGGCTCCAACTTTATCCCCAAAATCAAAAGCCAACAGGAGGAAAGGAAAAGCTGGGAACACCACAAACCTCAGCATAGAGGGTGAAGTAGCCCTCTGCCCCGTCCTGCCCCGTGATGAGCCCGTGGCGCCGGTTGATCCCGGCTATCACAGCTCCCTGGAATTCCGTGGGAGCCATCACCTCCACGGCCATGATGGGCTCGATGAGTCGCACCGTGGCGTTCTCCATGGCTGGGAAAAACAGGGGGATAAGTGAGCCAGCATCACAAGCCTGGGGTAAGTTGACATACTCCCTCCCCCAAGCAATAAATGGTTTATGTTAATGCCAAGTGTTTCCCACAGTCAGCTCCGTGGAATTCCAGCTCCCCCGCCTGTTAGTCCTGACACCACAATCATGGAGTCATTGAGGTTGGAAAAGACCTCCAAGGTCACCAAATCCAACCTCTGACCCTAAACCATCTTGTGAAGTGCCACCATCCCCCCCATTTTTTGGGCACTCCCAGGGATTGTGACTCCAGCAGTTCCCTATCCCAGTGCTTCACCGCCCCTCCAGGGAAGACATTTTCCCTAAAAAAGGCACAGTTTGACCCAATGTTCTCTTCCTGCCCTGTAAGGATGGTGCTGCCGGTGTTTCTGCACTGTACCCCAGGAAAACAGGATCTCCTTCACAGAACCACAAGAGCTGTTGTGCCTCCCTCAGAAATTCTATAAACTCTTATACTGTGCTCTACACAAGCGGCCAAACTTTGGATAGATGGATGACAGATGGATACCCCAAATAACACATGACCCTACAGAAAGGAGGCTGTTAAATTCAGCCCCAGCAACAAGAGCCAGGACACATCCAAACAAGGGGCTCTTACCTTGCTTTAGGGCTCCTTCTCCTGCCCTGATGAAGGAGATCTCGTTGGAGTCCACCATGTGGTGGGCCCCGTCCTCCAGGACGAAGCGCACCCCGGAGATCCTGTGCCCCGACACCAGGCCCTTCTCACAGGCATCTCGGAACCCCTGCAACAACAACAGCTCCCAGTCAGCACCAATCTGCAGCCTCTGAGCTGCCAGCCTTTGGCACCTCAGCTGGAAACTGATGCTTCATAAAACTGAAAACCAAGGCACAAGGAAAACTGGCTTTGTATGGGACTGCACGGCCAAAACCCCAAAGAATGCTCTGGGTGGAAAGAGCTCCTGCCTGGAGAACAAGATTCCTTTGAGACTGCGTGTTTTTTTTTCAGGATTTTGCAAAAATCTTCAAGTGTTGCATCATAGAATAATGAAGGAATTATTTTAAGCTGTCACAGGAATTCCGAGATGAGGGCAGGTTAATTAAAATAGTATGTGGTAAATCTTACAGAGAGACAGCCACAGATTTGGGAATTCAGGCAGGAAATGCAGCTTAATTACAGCTTCCTACATAATTGGCCTCAGAGAAGTCACAGAAGAAGTTCCATACTTTGGGGTTAGAAATGAGAATTGTGGGGCCACAACCAAAAGCAGAAGGGGCAGTAAGAAGCAGACTGAGCAGGAGGACTGTTGGACTGTGAGCAAGGAAAGGAGGCACTGCCAGGGAAACAGAGCCAGCACACACCACCAAAGCAAACACAGCAGCTTATAAAGTCAGTGGAAAACCCAGGAATGTGAGATATGAAGTAAAACCACACAAATGATTCTGCTTCCACTAAAGAAACAGGAAAAAGCCCCTTCCTTGCCTGCGGCAAGGCCAGCACAGCAAATATGGGCAATATGGCAGGACAACACAAAAATCAGTATTTTCTGTAGCACTCAAACCGTCTGTACCTTTTCCACAGCGGGCACAAATTGTTTGGGAATATTTGTGCCAACGGTTCTGTCTTCAAACTCTACTTTCGTGTAGTCCTCGGGATCCAGGGGCTCCAGCACCCCGATGACTTTGCCGTACTGGCCCGCCCCTCCTGTCTGCTTCTTGTGGGTGAATTCAAACCTGAAAACAAACACACCCCAAACACATTAACCTGCTGCAACCCCAGGGGAAAAAAAAAAAAAAAATCCCCATTCTGCAGTTCACAGAATCCCAGACTGCTTTGGGTTGGAAGGGAATGTAAAGGTTATTGAGTCTTATCCCATGGGCAGGGACACTTTCCACTAGCCCAGGTTGCTCCAGCCTGGCCTGGGACACTTCCAGGGATGGGGCAACCCGTGCCTGTTCCTCACAGGGAAGGATTTCTCCCCGCTATCCCCCCTAACGCTGTTCTGTTCTCAGAACAAACCTCCGTTCCCTCTGGCCGGGCAGCTCCGCGGTGTCTCGGCCGCCGTCCCCGCCCGCTCCCCGGGGCGGGCCCCGCCGCTGCCGCTCCCTTCCTGCGGCCGGAGGAAGCGCCTTGCGGGGCCACGGAGCTTCCCCCTCGGCAGGGCCATGGAGCTGTCCCCGGAGCTGCCCTCGGAGCGGTTCCCGGCGGGCCGGGCCGCGGCCCTGGCCGAGGCGCTGCTGCGGTACCGGCGGGGCGGCCCCGCTCGGGCGCTGCGGCTGAGGGAGCTGCGGGGGGCGCGCTCCGAGGTGAGATGGGGACCCCCGGGCACCCAACCCTTGAACACCCAACCCTTGAACACCCCTGCTGCAGGGACCAGAGCTCGGGGACAGCTGCCCAGGGAGGGCCGGGAGTCCCCTCGCCGGGGCAGAGAGGTCGGACCGGGCGATCCCCCCCTCCATCCCTTCCAACCGCGGCTTTTGTGGGGGTCACGGCAGGACCTGCGTGTCCCGAAGGGCCCCGGGGCTGGGAGCGGTCGGGCCGGTTGGAAAGGTGGAACACACAGCCTGTGCTGTCCCCACGATGGCAGCGGGCCCGGGGAGCCTCCCAAGCGCACTCAGCAGGGAGGAGGGTGCTGGGATCGCGGCTGCCGGGACACACCTGGCTGCTCACCTGGGCTGGGGTTACAGCTGAGAACACGGCACAGAACCCCCAAACAGCGGCACAGCAACCCCCACCCCCTTCCTTCAGTCATTACAGCCAAAAAAATCCAGGACAGGATTCATAATCAACTGCAGGAGGGAATTCGCTCGAGGAATCCCTGAACACTCCTACCTGGGTATTTAACCAGCAGCACTTTGTTGGAGCTCCCCATGTGATTCCATCCAAAGTGTTAATTCAGGGGTATTCCAGGCTAGAACTGAGGGTGGGCAGGCCCTGGCACAGGTTGCCCAGAGAAGCTGTGGCTGCCCCATCCCTGGAAGTGTCCCAAGCCAGGCTGGAGCAACCTGGGACAGTGGAAGGTGTCCCTGCCCATGGCAGGGCGTGGGACTGGATGAGTTTTAAATTCCCTTCCAACCCAAACCATTCCATGATTCTCTGATCTTGTCCACTACGCAAAGTCATTCAGCATTTGACAAAATAAACATCCTTAATGTTTTCCCTTTCTTAGGACATCAAGAATGTTGGGTACAAGTACTACCTGGAACTGGAGCTGGAAGATGCCCTGGACAAAGTGAGTTCAGGTTGAATTAATTAACCACTCTGAGTATGTCATAAATTCACTTTATGCTGCTGCTCTGGCTCAGGCCAGGGGACACACCAACTAATCACATTTGGAATCGTGTTTCTGATTTTTTTATCCTGCCAATCAGGCAAAAAAAGGCTAAATTTTAACAACAGGGAACCCACCCTAAAAGCCCTGCCCATGTGGTACCACCAGACAGTGCTGGAGGGATGACAAGGACATTTCAGTGTCACTCAGCTCCAACTGAACAGCACAAGGGACATTCTGCACCACCCACTGCCCTTCCCATCGCTGCAGAAAGCAAATCACCTTTATGCACTCACAGATCAACCACGAATTTAACCTTGCCTTAAATAAGCACAAATCTCTCTGGGCCAGACTCAGAGAAAACAGCAGCTCCATAAAAAAAGAAGAGACACGTCAGAAGTGCAAATTACCCCCATTATACGTGTACTTCATGAAATATTAATGCACATAATTAACTCTGTGACAGGACAGTACTGTTAACTGCACTGCTGAGGTGCTGTATCATCTGGACAACAAAAACATTGCCCCAGATGTGCAGTTCACCCTTGAAGGAGAACTAAAGAGCACAGAGGAAGCAGATCACGTGTTCTACAACCGAATCAGGAGCCTGGAAAAAGAGCTGGTGGCAAAGAACATTCCAGGTACAAGGGTGGGGCTGGGGGAGAAGGATCAGGCCTTCCCCCTGCTCTGAACACGTGCTGCTCCCCTTTCTCTTTCTGGGGGGTCTGTCAGTCACACCCACTCAATTTACTGATTTCTGAAATCCAGAACTGAGCCATGATTTGCATGTGGCTGTTCTGGAGAACCACCTGCCCCTGTCACCTCCTCCTGCCCCCTCTGAGCTGTCCTGGGCACATCCCAAACCCTGACTGACAATGGGGGTCTGCTCTGACTTCAGAGCCTTGAAAACTTTTTATGTCAGGGGAATGAAGTGGAGGAGAACACCCTGGGAGTGTGCCAGGCCAGGCTGGATGGGGCTTGGAGCAACCTGGGATAGGGGAAGGTGTCCCTGCCCAGGGCAGGGGGTGGGAATGAGAGGAACCTTGAGGTCCCTCCCAACCCAAACCACGCTGTGATTCCACAGGAGGAGACACTGCGGGGATGCAGCAGCTCCTCCAAGATACCCTGTGGAAGGTTCTGTGACGTGCCAGGGAGTGACTTTAGCACCAGGTGACGAAGTTGGCTCTTGTTTAACACCCAGGAATTGTTTTGTTCCCCAGACAGCCATGGCCACGTGCCCCCAGAGCTGGAGCCCCTCCACCTGCTCGCCTGGGCCGCCTCGGGATACCTGGTGTGGCAGAATTCCACGGAAAACACCCAGATCCAGCTGGCCCAAGTCAAACATGTGAAGCAGGTGGTAAGTCCCCATCAGTCACAGAATTCCAGAATGGTTTGGGTTGGAAGGCACCTTAAAGCCCATCTCATTCCCACCCCCTGCCCTGGGCAGGGACACCTTCCCCTATCCCAGGTTGCTCCAAGCCCCGTCCAGCCTGGCCTGGCACACTCCCAGGGTGTTCTCCTGCACTTCTTTCCCCTGACACATATTCCAACCTGGCCTTGGCTCTCAGTGCTCTGCAAGAAGAGTATTTAGGAGCTAAGCAGGGACTAGAGCAGAGCTGGATCCACATCCTTAAAAATCCACCTTCAGGAAACCTCAGTTATGTCTGAACTTGCTGCTCTGGTTGGGTTTTAAGAATCCAATCCAGTGTCTGAATTTTGTTCCACTACCCCTTCCCTCTAATCAAACAGCAATTAGGGGAGAGAGCCTAAAAGGGCTTTTTATTTGAGCTCTTGGGTTTCCCTTATCATGATGAGCATCAACTGAGGAGGACAAAAGGGGAACACAAGGGAGAAAGGGAACAGAATATTCCAGGATAAAATATTTCCTGTTTTATTTCTGGGTGGTTACAAGGGATGGGTTTACCTTGAGCACATTTGGATCTGCCCTAAGCTGAGGAATCAAAACCTGGCACATCTCCCTGCAGCTCCTGAAATTAATTGAGTCATTAATTGCCACCACCAGGCCTGACAGACTCCTGGAACTGCCTGGAACTGCCACAGCAAAGTCCTTTTGGTCTTATTGGTAAATTAATAGAATTCTGTAGATTCTCCCTATTTCCTCTGCTCTGAGTGGAGAAAACAAACAAGGATAAACAAACAGGATTTAGGATTCAGAGAACCTACAAAGCCCAATTGTTTTTGCCACTCAGAACAGGCAGTGAACTCCCAGGAAGTGCTGGGGATGAAGGAGAGACAAATTCCTTCAGGGAGCAGGATTTGTGAATGTTTTGCTCCCTCTGATGGCATCTTGGAGCAATTCACAGCTGCTGCAGGGCTGTGCACCAGCCAGAGTTTAAAGATTTTAAACCCCTCTTTAACAAATTTGAGGACAAGGCAGACAGAAAACGATTAAATTAACCCAGCTGCCACCTCTCTTGGGGAATTTCGTTCCTTTTCCCTGAAAAATACATGGGAAAAGAGTATATTCCCAAGGCCAGCGTGTATTTTGTCACTCACAGAATCACTGTAAGGCCTCTGGGGTCTGCCCTTACCCTACTGACAATTTTATTTGGGATTATTTGGGTTAAACTGACACCTTGTAGGAGGAGGTGTTCCCATCCCAACGGAGTTTCCTGAAGTTGGTATTTATTTGATTTCTTTAAGGGAGGCACTGGCAGAGTTTGAAGCCTCATGTTATTCTCTCCAGTGCAATTTTGGAGTCACAGAAACACAAATCGGGATCTTTTAGAGAACCAAAGAACTCACTCACTGCTTTTCAGGTGGTGGGAAGCCCCAAATTCACCCCTTTTCACCTTGTCTTTCCAGAGGAGAAGTGACAAATACCTGCAGTTTGACTTCCAGGTTCTCCTTCATGAAATGGTGTCCCAGGTAAATAGTGGATTTCTAAAAAGCCTTTTTTTTGGCTGTGGTTTTAAGCCTGGCAGCTCAGCTCTGGCACACAGATGGTGGGGTGGGCACAGAGCAGGGGGAGCTCAGGGCCACCTTCCCTGCCCATCCCAGCATTCCAGGACACAACAGCAGCACCTATCCCAGTAACTCCCAGCACAAACTGGTTCCCAGCACTTTGAAATATTCCCCACCATAATTCTGGGATCTGAGCAAGTGTTTTCGTAAGGAAAACACAAAGTGTGAGAGAAAAGATCCTGGTTGTGCAACCTCCTGGAAAAAGCACCCAGGGATCTCCCTCCCAGCTCCAGCTCCGCTGCTTCCAACCCCCTGCACACTGCCAAGTTTTAAACTAACAGAATTCTCTGGATTCTCCCAGTTTTCCTGTGTGTTTGGAGGAGATACACCGTGAGTTCAGAGTAACCCCTGAAATGATGGTCAGCTTTAAGTTTAAGCCAAGGTCAGCTTTAAATTCCAGCCAAGGGCCCCTACAGCGGGTTTGGTTCCTGAGCTTTCCACGAAGAGAAATTCCTGACTAGTCAAGAGAATTGCTGACAGATTGTTCCCTGTTGTCCCTCCCACAGGAGATCATTCCCTGGGAGATGACAGTGCTGTGGCACCCTCAGGATGGTGTCCAAGTGACACAGGACAGCCGCCAGCCCAGACACACGTCGGGATGAGGGACCCCCTGATCCCCTCTGGAAGCAGCTCCGGAGCTCCAAGAGGCGTTGGGACAGAGGGCAGAGGAGGGAAGGGGTGGGGAGGCAATGAGGGTACAAAGACAATAAATGACACTTCTCCTGTACCCTGGGCTTTGAGGGGATCACCCCAGAGCTGCTCTGCTCCTTAATCAAATCACCCCAAGAAAGGAAGCAGACAATTCCCAGAGGGAATACTCACGGCACAGGGGCAGAGATGTTCTCCCTGAAGGCAACTTTGGGCTTCCCCATGGTGCAAGGACAACCGTATTCCCTCTCCATTCGCTGCAGGGAAAGACCCAGAGTTGTGCCATTAGAACAGTTCTTTGGAAATCACTGCATGAACTTAATCAGGGTTAACCAGGGCTTTTCGCTGATTTTTGGGGGCTTTTTGGTGGGTTTTTTTTTTAGTGTTATAAATTGTTCACTGTCATTTCTGCACCCAGCTTTGTTTATGATCCACACGGGAAAAGGGAACAGCGTTAATTTTTTTAATAAAGTTTTAAGTTTTTCAAGACAAAACCATCTTTTCTTTGTTCTGTCAACATCTCAGACACATCTCTTGTGGTTATTAAAATATAGTCATCAACTGGAATGAGAATAATCACTGTGAGCAACTATTCCCTTCTCCCTGCATCCATCCTGCATGGAATGATGCACTTGAAACCACAGAAACTGAGTATTTTTTCTGTGGAAATTAATTATTGTTAATTATTAAGTAATTATAAGCAAAGCCTCCTAAAGCAAAGTGTAGTGCTTAATACATTTTTTATGGATTCGAACTGAAAAAGTGAAAATATTCCAGGCAGCAGTTTCCTTTAAATAGTTTAGAATCCTTCAAAATGGAACCACTGCAGAGAAGGAACCTGCAGAAGTTGATTTACAGTTAAACTCTTCCCAAAGCAGCTGGAAAGAAGGAAGAGGAGGAGGAGGAGGAGGAGGAAAAGGAAGGAGAATTCGTGGTTGGAAAACCAGGGAAAAGCAGAGGCCATGGAATCTGCTTTCCCAATTACCTGGGCATAGATTTCCAGGTGCAGCTCCCCCATCCCAGAAACAATGGTCTCCTTGCTCTCATCATCAAAGTGCACTCTGAAAGTGGGATCTTCCCTTGTGAAGCGGCTCAGGCCTTTGGAAAACTTGTCAAAGTCGTTCTGAAATACAATTAAATACACAAGATTTGCTCACATTCCAGAAATTAGCCAAGAAAAAGGCCTCAGCTTTTCCTGTCAGCTGCTGAGCACGTCTGCTCTCTGAGGTTATTTTCTGAAACACTTCTAACTGCATTTGTTAATGTGTTAATTGTGATTTATTTCAAGTTCAGGTCAAAGAAATGCTCTTTATTCATGGCTGAGTGACACCACCCAGCCCAGCCACCTGCTGGCTTATCCAGTGAGGGATTGTGGATAAAACACTTTGGAACAGTGCTTGTTTTAGCCTGTTCCTTGTTTAACCTGCATTAAATCCTAAAAGCAGCAAAGGGAGGGGAACCCAGGGAAATCCACAGGCTCCTACCTTGTTGGAAGGCTTCATGGCCACGGAAATGACGGGATCAGGGACATGGATGGATTCCTGCAAGGAAGAGGGGATGATTACAAACTTCCCCAGCAAAATCCTCGTAGATCCCAGTGCCTGAGGGATCCCCACAGGGCAAGGGGAACTCACCATGGAGATGGCAGTGCTGGTTTTATCAGTGAAGGTGTCCCCGCTGGCACAGTCAATCCCAAACAGGGCACAGATGTCTCCAGCATAAACTTCATTTACATCCTTGGGAAAGAAAAGTTTCCTGGTTAGGGAATACTGAAAAGTAAGAGAGGCTGTGGCTGCCCCTGGATCCCTGGGAGTGTCCCAGGCCAGGTTGGACAGGGCTTGGAGCAATCTGGGCTGGTGGAAGGTGTCCCTGCCCATGGCAGGGGGTGGCACTGGATGGGCTTGAAGGTCCCTTCCAACACAAACCATTCTGGGATTTCTCCTCTGATTCCATAACCTATGAACTTCACCTGGTTTATAGAAGACACATAAATATATTCTGTGTTTTAAAGCTTGACATTGAGCTCCTCTAAAATTCCAGCTGGGCTAAAAATGCTCTGTGAAGCTTCCACCTCTTTATTCCGAGGACAAAAGAGAGAGCTCAGCTTGGGTGCCAACTTGTTGCAGTTTAAGGATGTGAAGCAACCACTGTGCTGTGCTCCAGGCAGTCCTGACCCACTGCAGGAATGTCAGGCAGTGGCTCAGAGCCCACCCCATCCCTAGGGATCACTCACCTCCATGTTGTCCGAGTGCATCCGGACGAGCCTCTGCACTCGCACCCTCTTCCCAGTCCTGGTGTTGTAGATGTAATCAGACTTCTTCAGCATCCCCTGGTAAACTCTGATGTAGGTTAACTGCCCAAATTTACCAGCCTGGAAGCAAAATCCATGAAAAAAAAATCACATGTGATCCTTCTGGGAAGCAGGGCCATTGTTACTGAAAGCGTCACCTGCACTGAGGGGTGTTTCTGGTTTGGATTTCCACCCCAGAAATGCAACTGAGGCATTTTTGAGAGTCTCAGCTTCCCCTTGGCTCTGGGATGGAATTTGGCATTTCCTGGCAATTTCCTGAACCCATTATATCACTCCCAAACCTTCCAAACAGAGACACACATCGACATGGAATATGAAATCTGAGGTGCTGCTCTTCAGGCAGAAACAACCCTGTTTCCTTAAAACTGTGCTCTTTATCCTCTCCAAATCTCTCCTTTTCCGTTGTTTTCAAAGCCAGTATTTTTCTCTGAAAGTATCTGAAATAAACCCATAAACCCCCCAACTGTCTGAGTTTTAACTAAGCCATGAAATATCTGAGGGACATAACCCATTCTAAATTCCAAATTGGCAGTGTTGGACACACTGGTGGATTTTATGGTGGGAACCAATTTTTTAAAGGTGAAGTTTAAATTGAATTTAAATATAACCTGATTTTAAAGCTTGCTCTGCACAACTTTTGGCAGCCCCCTCTGTTTGGATTCACTGTGTGAGTCGTTAGGAAGGAGCTCTGTGGACTCACCTCCAGTTTAAAGGCAAGGCCGATGAAAGGTTGGGAATTATCACGAGCAGGGTTCAACAGGAACTTGGATTCGTCCTCAGAATCCCTGAAAAACAGGGATGGAGAGGGAGGTGAGGTTATGAGGCAACTTGGGAGCCTCCTCCAAGCATCTGCTGGCTCTTTACTGGCTTTAATGTTGAGGTTCACACCTAATTGTTGGACTTTTCTCCCAGGAACAAGGGACAGGAAAGAGGGAACAGCCTCAGGCTGTGCCAGGAGAGGCTCAGGTTGGACATGAGGAGGAATTTCTTCCTGGAAAGGGCTGTCAGGCATTGGAAGGGGCTGAAGGCTTGAAGGGTGCCATCACCTCTGATGAACTGTCTCATAATCATTTCCCACGTTTAATGTGTTAATAACACCAGTACAAAGGGTAACCCTCAGGTGAAAGGAGCTCTCTCAGGTTTGGGAGTTTGTGCCAAATTCTGGGGCCGTTATTTAACACAAATGGTGAATGGATCTTGTTACTGCTGTTTCCTGCTATGTTCTGAACTGCTTTGAAACTATTCCACAGAACCATGGAATGGTTTGGGTTGGAAAGGACCTTGAAGGCCTTCCAGTCCCACCCCTACCACCTTCCACTCATTGGGGTTGCTCCAAGCCCCATCCAGCCTGGCCTTGGACACTCCTTACCCCTGGTTCAGGAGGGCATAATTCTCCACCTCAGAAGGATTGGGAAGGTATTCCAGGACAGCATCCAGCAGTGGCTGCACCCCTTTGTTCTTCAGTGCACTCCCCACGAGGACGGGGGTGAAGGACTTGCTCAGAGTCGCTCTCCTGATGGCCAGCTGCAAAACAGCACTGTTACCTCTCCCCCTGCACCTCCCTGGCTTCCCTGGCCATCCCCACCTCTGGAGGCACCTTTAGCTCAGCAGCTGTGGGAATCTTCTCTTCCAGGAACATCTCCCCGAGCTGATCGTCCGAGTTGGCGACGCACTCGATGAGCTCCCGGCGCCGCTCGGCGGCCTCCGCCCGCAGCTCGGCGGGGATCTCCTCGAAACGCAGGGTCTGGCTGCACACACAGGGGTAAATCATCACTCACAGGGAGTGGACCACATGCATCGACCTTTCCCATCACTGCCACTGCCAGCCTGACCCAGAAAAACTCACCACTGACACGGATAACAGGAAAAAAATCCCCTGTGAGAATCAGCTTTGGTGCTCCGGCAGGAGAAGGTTCCTTCCCACTCCTGGCAGGAGCTTGAAGGATGCAGGACAACCTGCTCAGCAGCCCCACCCACATCTCATCTTCATCCCAGCAGCCACACGTGCACTGCCAGATCCCGTTATGGAGCAAGTCCCTCTGTTTGTCAGGGTGGGAAGTGTGGCCACCACCCCTTCCCACCACCCATCCCTGCAGGACCAGGAGATGGGAATGCTGGAGGCTGAGCTCAGCCCTGGCACAAGCCCCACCCTGGAATTCCCAGAGAGCAGGGTTTCCCCTCTGCAGGAGGAATTCCTCCTGCAAGGAGCAGCTCCAGCCAAGAAAGGAGCGACTTTCACAACTCACCCGAGTGCACCATCAAAATAAATGGCTTTTTCTTCAATCAGATCTATAATTCCTTTGAAGTTTCCCTCCAGCCCAATTGGAATCTGCACAAAAGCTGCATTGTGCTTCAACTTGGACCTGGGAAAGGGAGAAAACAGAAATTAGTTCAAGAAAAACGTTGTTTCTGTGGGTCTCCCCCTGATGGTCTTTGAACAACTCCCACAAAATCCCTGGATTTCATCCTTCGGGCAGTGCCAAAAATCTGTCAGTGCTGATGAAAACCACCCAGGTGTGTTCCAGGCAGGGTGGCCCAAGAGGAACAGGGAGCCAATCCCACGGGAAAGAAGACAGAGGAGACTGGTTTGAGATTGATTACTTGATTGATAGGGAGGCTTCTCCCTTCATGCATATTAATGAGTTATCTCACAGATCAGATGAGGGGTAAGCAGGATTCCAGGCATCCAAAGCACCCCATCACCTCCCTGCTGGAATTCCAGCAGCACCTGTGCCACCAGGATCTAGGGAAAACCAAAAGGCTGCTTTCAAGGCGGCTCCAACTACAGTTCCATCAACAAAATAAATATCAAACCCCAGCTCTTCTCGGTCCCTGCAAGTCTTGGCTGATCCCAGCATTTTTGGAGACTTATGGGTCAGATTAAGATTTGACCCCAAGTCAGGCATTCCCCAAACTGCAGCCACAAAGAGAACCCTCTCCACTATTCTCCACCTGTCATGGGAGTATTCAGAACGACTTCACAAGTAGTTTTAAATGGTAAATACCTGAGTTGCTGCACGGCCCTGGCTGGGTTGGAGCCCATCCTGTCCAGTTTGTTGATGAAGGTCAGGAAGGGCACGCTGTACCTCTTCATCTGCCTGTTCACAGTGATGGTCTGGCACTGGACTCCTCCAACAGCACAGAGGACCAGGACTGCTCCATCCAGGACTCTCAGAGACCTCTCCACTTCAATGGTGAAGTCCACGTGCCCTGAATGACAATAAAACTCATAAAAATCACGATAAATGAGTGCAGAAAGCAGCAACAGCCAACAGAAGCAAACCCTCCAGCCACAGAGTCACATCAGCTTGAGTGGAACCATGGAATGGTTTGGGTGGGAAGGACCTTAAAGTCAGGGACACCTTCCACTATCCCAAGGTTGTTCCAACCTGGCCTGGGACACTTCCAGGGATCCAGGGGCAGCCACAGCTCCTCTGGGCAACCTGTGCCAGGGCCTCCCCACCCACCCAGGGAATTATTCCTTCCTCTATCTCACCTAAATTCCCCCTCTGTCAGGTTGAATCCACAACACACTGTCCTGTCCCAACACAAGGATGCACCATGTCCTCTGTACCCACGAGGAACAGCGACCCCCAGGTGGTCCCAGCTGGCTCACCTGGTGTGTCGATGATGTTGATGTTGGTGTCTCTCCACATGGTGTAAGTGGCTGCAGACTGAATGGTGATGCCCCGCTGTCGCTCCAGCTCCATGGAATCCATTACAGCTCCTACTCCATCCTTACCTTTCACCTTAGGGAAAAAGAAATTAAAAAAAAACGTAGTCCAAGGAGTTTACTAGGAACGCACATCCCATCCCTGGAGGTGCCCAGGGAAGGACTGGATGTGGCACTCGGTGCTCTGGGCTGGGGGACGAGGTGGGGATGGGGCACAGGGGGGATTTGATGACCTTGGAGGTTTTTTCCAACCTCAGTGATTCTGGGATTCCACCCCCTTGCCCTCCCCCTGTTTTCCAAGGATTTTCAGGGCTCCCCCAGAGCAGCCCTGCAGTCTCACCTCGTGCATCTGCGCGATCCTGCCGGTGTAGAACAGGATCCGCTCCGTCAGCGTCGTCTTCCCGGAGTCGATGTGGGCCGAGATGCCGATGTTGCGGATCCTCTCGTTGGGAAGGACCCCCGAGGAGCAGTGTCTGCAGGAGCTCAGGAGCAGCTGCAGGGCAAGAGGAGCCCGTGGGTTGGTGAGGAGCTGACCCAGCACAGCAGGGAGTGACAGGACAAGGGAAAACAGCCTCCAGCTGTGCCAGGGGAGGGGCAGGTTGGACAGCAAGAGGAATTTCTCCTTGGAAAAGGTTGTTAAACATTGGCAGGGGCTGCCCAGGGAGGTTTGGAGTGCCCAGCCCTGGAGGTGCCCAAGGCAGGCCTGGCCGTGGCACTCAGTGCTCTGGGCTGGGGGACAGGGTGGGGATGGGGCACAGGGGGGACTTGGAGATCCTAGAGGTCTTTTCCCACCGTAACTGCCCCTGTGCCGATGGATAAACTTCCCAACCGCTTCCCTGCGGTCTCCACTCCGTGTCAAACGGGTCACTTAGAGCCGAATGGCCTTTCCAGGCCAGCTGGGACCGTGCCCAGCCCGGAGGCCCCGCACGGCCCCTCCTCGCCAGCCCCGCATCCCAACCCCGCTGCCAATCCCCCCTTTCCGTGTCCCCCATCCCTGTCACCGATCACACGTGGCGGGTCATGGGGACTCGGACGGACCCGGCCCGGCCGCTCCCCCTCCCGGCCCTCCGGAGCGGGGCCGGCGCCTCCTGAGGGGCCCCTGGGGCGGTACCTGGAGGTGGCGCGGGCGGCCCGGGGCCAGCCCGGCCCTCAGCACGCTCAGCATGGCCCCAGTTCCAGCCCCGGCTCCGTCCCTGTCCCGGCACAACCCCGGCTCAATCCCGGGTCAATCCCGGGTCACTCCCGCCCCTTCCGGGGCCCCGCGCAGGCGCCGCCCGGGCCGGGCTCGGCAGCTCCGGGGGGATCCGCAGGGACGGGCTGTGGGAACCGGGGATGCTCCTCCCGACCCGATCCCGGCGCATTCCCCAGCCCGAGCCCTCCAGGGAGCCCCTCCGGCCCCGCACACCGGGAATTCTCCACGGGCGCCCTGAAACGGGCGGATTTCACCCCAAAACGGGGACCGGGAAGGAGCCTGGAGTGGAGGGAGGGGGCACCATCCACAGCCGAGCAGGTGGAGGTTGGGGATTGTTAGCAATTAGCTCCGGCTGGAGGTGTTTCTAATTAGTAATTAGAAAGAAGTGGAACGCACTGGGAAATTATGTTCTCAGTATAAAAATATTCCCCGCTATGGGATAAACCAGGAAGTTTCTCATTCCGGGGAAGGCTCCAGGAGCAGCTCTGAAGTTGGGAACAGCCCAGCCCTCTCCATACTCGAGTCCCACTTCCAGCAGTTTCCTTCTGTCGGACCTTATCTTTTACGGAAAATTCACGTTTCCCTGGGAAAACTGAGGGGCTTCCAGAGTGGAAGGGTCCTTCCTTCCTTTGGGGTGGAAGGGTCCTTCCTTCCTTTGGGGTGGAAGGACCTCCAGGCCCATCCCATTCTGCCCCCTACCATGGCAGGGACTCCTTCCATATTCCAGCTTTCCCTGGTTCTGCTGCTGTTGGTGTCACACTGGAATGTTTCGGAGCCCAGACTAAATAATGCACAACTCCCTGTGTGGCAGAGAACAAAGCAAAGCAACCCCATAAATAATAAATAACTTTATTCAAGAACTGCAGTTGCAGATGGTTCCACAGGGAACAGCTTCCCGTGCATTACACTGGGAACAGTCTTGGCATAACAAAGCGATCCACAAGGAACATTCGCCCCTTCCCGCTGTCATTTCCAAACCCCAGGATGTGCTTGCTTTAGTATTACATGGCTGTATCCTGTTTGTTTTCATCTCAGACAGAAAGCCAAGCTGTCAGGTGAATTCTCTGTTGAACAGCAGTGTCTCTCCAACGTCCCTGTCATGTTCCAACTTGGAAAACTTTGCTGCTGTGAATCACTAGGAAATTGGAGTGACATACCTGGGAAAGGCCTCCCCAGCCTTGTATTGCCTATTGAATTAATTGCAAAAGCCACATTATCTTCAGTGGATGGAAAATGAGCCCCTGGATTGTGCTCTAAGGGCTGGCAAAGCATCCCCTGACCCCCCTTCACCTTTACTGCTCATTAAATGGTTCAACAGCCCCAATTAATGCCACTAATAATTGATCACATGAACTTACTGCCACTAATATTTGCTCTAAGAACAGGAAGAGACCACTGCAAGAAACAGCAAATAATTGGCCTTTCCTTGTCAGAGCCCAACAAAAGTGCTGGTGATTTATTTTTTGACATTATTAAACATATTATTTCATTAAAATTAAATAATCTGGGGAAACTGCAGGTAGATTAAATATGATTTAAAGGCTTTCTGGCCAAACAAACATTACTCTTAACTTACTAATGCTACTTTATCATATAAACAGTGCTTTTTAAGGCTAAACTAATGTAGTCTTGCATTTATGTAATGTTATTTAACAAAGAGAAATTCTTTATGCTACAACATGGGGATAATTCCGTGTGACAAAACAGCACATGGACACCTGGAATACAAAGATTTTCCTGGCTTTTCTAGAACATCAGACTCAAACAACATCATCCAGGGACACCAGATGAGACTTAGTATCATCACAAAGAACAAACTCAGCTGAGGGGAGATGGTTTCCTGTGTCCAGGGCTCTCTCCTGGCTCCTGAGAACAGGAGAAATGGTGAAATCGTTCCAGTTAAACTCATTTCTCCCACATATTTTTCCCATTAATAACTAAAAAGTGCAGCTGAGTTTCTCAGGACCCATGGGGTGATTAAAAGCTACTCCAGACAATCCTCAGCAGCGATGGGCCAACTCCAGAATAAACACACAGAGGATCAGAGGTACAAACTGGACACTTCAGGCACTGAAAATGAGGTGCAAGCCCATCTTATCAACTTAAAAATGAGACAGTATTGCCATTTTAGGATTTCACTTTTCTCCATGTTCAAACAAGGTGAATGGGGGGATTCTGTTAGAATTTCCAGTATGATTTTAAAGATATATATATATATATATATAGTGGCTTTAATGTATTCCAATTCCTATTAAGTATCACCTAAAAATCATTTTAGCCACACTAAATAAAGAGAATTTATTTTCTGTGCAACTTACAGAGTGGGGAAAAGTAGCTGCAGTGTCAGGCTTGGTAAAGCCTGAGACTGGTGCAGCTGTAGCAGGAAAACTTTGAAAATCAGTGCTTTTTTTAAGCAGAATTGGTGATAATCCATAAAGTGCTTTCAGGCAGAAAGTTGTTGGGTTTTTAGTTCACCAAAAAGAGAGGGTTTAACTGAGGAGCTGAGGGTTGAGGAACACTCAGGAGGAGCAAAGGCACAACACAAACAGAGATTGGTCACATATCCCGTGTATTTGTATGGACATGAGCACCATTTTCAGCTCTGGAGAAACTCCATCCCAGGGAGATGGGGCCACTTATTTCCTGCTGCTTCTGTTGAGGGGGACGTGGGTTCCTTTCACACTGAGAGACTCCAGGGAATCTCTGGGCACTCTGGAACGGGCAGTTCCAAGTAGCTTCTCTCTGGAAAAAAACAACAACAAAAATCCCAGTCACCACGGGACAAGGAGGGATAAAACCTGCTGTTCCTACTCAGGATGATAAGAATTGGATTTTCCTTGTGCTGCTGGAGTTTCCTTATGTAGGAAATTATTCCTACCTTATACAGATATATATTATATATATTTTTATTATATATATTATATATATTACTATATATATGATATATTCCTACCTTATAGAGGTAGGAAACTGTATTTACCTTCTTGATCCATTCTCCTTGTAATTGATACCTCTGGATTTTGGAGCTTCCACAGAGCTTCTAGTTCTGGATGGCCTGAACTTCATGACCTCCTTCTGCCACTCCTCATCAAAGCTCTCGGCCTCATCTGGAACACAGATTAATTCACATTTTATTTTTAATAAAGACAAGCAAATAAATATAATGAGTACTGGTGAGTCTGAGTAGTGATTTTTTAATTTGTAGTCCATGATTCTCCACGTGGTCTGCAGCTATTTTGGGGGGAAAGAGGATTTGATGGGCAGACTTTCAGTCTGTCTGAAGTTGCTTTTAGGATGTCTCAAGCTGGAACTCCCACACTAGTGTGTGAAACAGTGTAAAGCCCATTAGAGAACTGCCTAAAAAGACCTACTTTCATCCATGTTGATGAATTCCTGGTTCATCTCCTCATCCCCAGTCTTGCAGTTCTTGGACTTTTTGATGACATGAGCCCGATCCTGGATGTGATGGCCAATGGCCATTTGTTCCAGGCCACTTACAGAATCCTTCAGTGCTTTTCTTGTTTCCTTTACCTGTACAAAAAAAAAAAAAAAAAGGGGAAATCAGCATCTTTCCCACCAAAACAGAAGTTAAACCAGTTCACACAATCCCAGACTGGTTTGGGTGGAAAGGGACCCTAAAGCCCATCCAGTGCCACCTCCTGCCCACCCTCCCAGCCAGGAATTCCTTCCCAATATCCCATCTAACCCTGCCCTCTGGCAGTGGGAAGCCATTCCCTGTGTCCTGTCACTCCAGGCCCTTGTGAAGTTATTTCCTGCCCCAAATGTTTTATATCTTTCCTTTATAAAAGTCAGCTTTCGCAGGCTCTTCCAGTGATCTCATTTGCTGTGTTGGCTGAAAATACACCAACAAAACACACATCAAGTCTGTTTTGTTTTTGCCAATAGACAGGAAATCTCACCACCACCTTAACTGGATATTAATTATTGGGGGGGTAGAAAAAAATCCCAGTCTAAATTTACTACACAGCCAAGTCTTCAACGTTCTCCTTGACAACAGAACGAGCGACACCCAGTGCCAAAATTCCCAGTGTGAGGGACAACTGATTATTAGGTTGTGGTGTTGACTGACCTGAAACCCAGGCAACCACTTGCCATGCTGTGCAGGGGGTATTATTAGCAGCAGGGTGTGCTGAGTGAGGGTGTGCAGGGGCTGCCCCTTTAGGGAGCAGTTCCAGCCTCTCAGGGCCCTGCTCCAGGGCTCAGGTTCCAAGGCCTGGGCAGAATTAGACACAACAGCTGCGGGGAAGGGGCTGGAAGGGCAGCTCCAGCCCAGGGTTATGTAATGCCTGGGCAAAGGGGGCATCCAAAGGCAGGGCTCGCAGAAACAGATGCCTCTCCTGTAGTTTAAAGGGGCAGGAGAAGGATTAATTATAGCAAAGACATCAGAGGCTGCCGTGGAAAATCAGCAGTTCTGGCGCTGTTTTTCCAGTTTGGGATAAACATATAATTTATTTAGGTTATATTTAAAGCATGTAAATTACAAGCAGGGAAAGAGTCCTTTAAGAAGCCTTTAACATAAAGCAGTGTTTGACAAACATGTATTTTCCTCATTTTCTACATTTTCTTTGTGTTGACAGGTTGAGGGTGGGAGTTGGGCTCTGCTCTCACGAAAGGAGGGACAGGAGGAAAGGGAACACTCTCCAGCTGTGCCAGGGGAGGCTCAGGTTGGACAGCAGGAGGAATTTCCTCATGGAAGGGGTTGTTAAACGTTGAAGGAGCTGCCCAGGAAGGTTTGGAGTGCCCAGCCCTGGAGGTGTCCAGGGAAGGCCTGGCCATGGCACTGAGTGCTCTGGGCTGGGCGACAGGGTGGGGATGGGGCACAGGGGGGATCCATGGGCTGGGAGGGCTTTCTCAACCTAAAGGATTCTGTGAATTAGAGTATCTGTCTCCAGAGCTGAGCAGGGCAGCCCAGCTGGGTGCCAGCAACACTTACACCTCCTGGGGCCGTGCGAGTCTGGGCCGAGGCCTGGAAGACCTTCGGAGGTTCATCCCCCATCTTGGAGTAAGTCATCATGGAGGAGGAGCTGAACGTGTGGCCATCGGGGTGCATGGACAGGTCATCCTGCACAGCAAAGAAACTCATTAATAGAAGTGGAATCTTGTGGGTAACAGGCATTTCTGGCTATTTTTATTATCATTAAATTAACCCTCTTGGCACCCCAGATAAGGCCTGGTGGGCAACACTCTCAATCTTATCTTCAAAGAATAAAGAAAAATTATAACCACAATACAGCCTGGGCAAAAAACAGGAATTCTCACTGGCTCCTTGAGATCAGTAACGTTTTTTCTGAGTGATATTTCAAACAACTGTCACTCTTCAACAGTTAATTTTAGGACAACTTACAAATTTCCTGTGCATTTCCAGCATACTGTTCCTCATGTTTGACATCATCCTGTCCATGGCAGAGAATGGATCCCCAAAGTCTGCATCCTGATAACAAGATATGACAATTAAAACACACTCTTCTGACTCTCCCAGTCCTGAAGCTGTGTTTCTTTACATGCATTTTTAATGCAACTCAGAGCATCAGAAAGGTTTTCAGCCTGCAGTTCACACACAGACAAGCCAAGATGCAGCTTTTCCAAGGAAAACTGAAGGTAGCATGGAAGCTTGGTTGTTAAGTTGGAGATATTGGAAAGATGGAAGATTGGACGCTCAGATGTCAAACTGGCCACGATGTGAGTTTATTTTATAAATGTTTTCATGTACCTTCCACCCTCATCAGGTTCTGCTGTAAAAGTACTGTGTGACCCTTCATGCTTTAAATTGAAATAAATTAATTTCAAAGTTTGAATCTGCAGCTTAAGCCCCCAAACTAAGTAAAATTCAGGTAGAAAAAATCCACAACTCATTTCTTGAGTGCAAGAAAATGGAGCCCTTGAGGGCTCTGAATTACAGGCAGATTACAGATATTTTACAGGGATGTTCCAGCCCCCCAAATTACAGCAGAAAAGCACTCCAAGCCCATGCTTTGGTTGCACACACAGCACACACCCAGCAGCAGCTCCTCCTGCCATACTAACCCCTATCCCAAAGCCTGCAAAGGGCATGAGGGAGTAGCTTGTTGCCTGGAAGAGAAAGGACCAACATCTTTAATTATTATTTTACCTGTTATCAGAACTAACTTGCACAGACAGCACAGGTGACATTGAACACTTCCAGTCAGATAAAAGCAGCCACTCAGGAGAACTCGGTAATTAATGACACCAAGGAGTCTCTGGGCATGCAGAAATATTTACACTGATGGTATTACACAGCGAGAGCTGCCACCACATTTAATAAATATTGATAAGTATCTACTAAAAGCACTTAGAGCTGGAGGCCGAGAAACATTTGCACACCACAAACCCCTTTGTGATATTGTTTAAAACACAGCACAGAGCTTCAGACACCACCCGAAACGCTCCACTCCAGTTGTGCAACCACTGAAGGCTGATTAAAATCAACAAATCAACACCTCTGACCCACTGACAGCCAGCATCCTGTGTGCCAGGGCAGGCAGATCCTGGGAAACACTGGGATGTTTCCAGGAAACTAAGATGGGAGAGTCAGATAAAGGCCTGCCCAAAGACAGGCTGGGCACCCAAACCCTTTACAGGAACTTTAAGTACAAAAGGAAAGAATTATCCAAGTCTGGAACATCTTCATGAACTCTTCAGATTTCTGTCAGTGCCTACAAGGCAGAACAGCAAAAAATAATCTATTTTTTCCTATATATCTCAAGTGCAAAAGGAGATCTGCCAAGTCTTTGGTGAAACATGAGGGACATCAAAAGCTCCTGGGAAGATTTTGGGGGAGGAATCTCCCAGTTCCCCTCTGGATGTGCAGGTGACAGGCTGGCTCTGAGCTCTGCTTTACTGAGCTCAGACTATCTGGGCTGGGCCAACCACCCAATCCTGGCCCACAGCCACGAGCCCTCCTCACGTGCCTTTGCCTTCCAACGGTTTTTAAACTCCAGTGGGGTCCATTCAGTAAGAGATTTGCAGCTGCTAAATATGTAGAGGGAAAGGAGCCACCTCCAGTGTATCTGCTCTCTAAATACAGCTCTTGGATAAGGCTGGGCTCCAGCAGGGCAGCAGAGAATTGTCCTGCACGCCCAGAGTTGAGAAGATACTTCATTCCAAACACAGATCACTGCCAACATCTCCCTTTCAGCTGGCAACATACACAAATACTACAGTTTGTATCGAATTCCCCGAGCCTTAATTCTTACAGGCTGGTATCTACAGCAAACATCAAGAATCAGCCTGAATGCAGAGTGTGAAGCCTTCATTCACTGCTGCAAAGATGAAAATGTGGTTAAAATACCTCTGTAGGTGCTACATAGGTGGTGAAACAGGGTTGTGCTCAACATAAATAACTCCAGGCAGGACACTGAAGTGCACAGTGAAGGAATAAAGAGGGTTGGGAGGCCCAAAGACCCCAGGGTTGGAAGGGACCTTCAAAGCTCAGTTCCACCCCTGCCATGGACAGGGACACCTTCCCCTAGCCCAGGCTGTTCCAACCTGGCCTTGGACATTTTCCAGGATGGCAAGAGCCATATCCAGGCACCTTTTGAAGCGAAGTGAACACGGACCAGGAGAGGAGTCCCTCATTCCCCCAAGCCCCCCCGCTCAGCCCCACACGTACCCTGCGGCTCCCCCGGGCCGCCAGGCTGGATTCCGGGCGCGCTCTGGGTTCCAGCGCTCTGTCCGGCCCGGCCCTGCCCTCCGGCACGCTCCGACACCGCTCCCGCCCGAAGGGCTCCGAGAAGCTCCTCATCATCTGCCTCATGTGCTCATGGTGGGCAGCAAAGGGATCCCTGCAAAACACAGCCACGTCAGTGAGGTTTGCTCCGAGCTACGTCGAACGGCTCCCAAGTCTTTCGAACTCCCACTTTTTAATCATTCCATGGGGTTCTTTTATGCCAAACCTTGCTTTTCATAGGGCAATCTCCTATCCTAATGAACTCTCACTGTCTTGTTTCTCACTCTCAATGTCAGCATTACTTTTCCCTCATCTTTTCCAGAAATACTCCATCCTTCCAGGTCACCTTCCACTCCAGCCCATGTTTACTCTCTGCCAGGAACTATAAACCCACCTGTGTTTTATTTATGTCTATTTCCACCTCCAACACCTGATATTAAAAGAATTTATTTTTGACTTTCCCCCCTTTCATCTTCCAAAGCCTGGCACAGTCCTACTCACTGAACTCCTCATGTCCCACTGGATTCCTCCCCCCCTCACCCCTCAAATTTATTCTGCTGCCAGCTCCCATCCTACTTTCCCTCCTCCTTGTCCCAGATGCTTGAAAATCCATATTATCTTCTAAATTCAGGCCAGCTCCATCCCCTTCAGTCACCCACTGTTGCATCTTTGCCTTCCCTCTCCACAGACCATGTTCCCACACCCCTTTTCTCTGCTGAGGAACAAAGATTCCCACTGACTTCGTCTTCCTGTTAGTTTTCCCCCTCTTCTCTCCCAAAACCTACATGACCCCACTGGCATTCCCAAAGTTTGACTTGCAGGGAAAACACTGCTCAACTTCCTTAATTTTTATCATTTTGGACAAGAATAAAATATTTGGACAAGAATAAAATATTTGGACAAGAATAAAATATTTCTAATAAGGGACAAAAGAGGATCCAACCAGGACTTTTTCAGGAACACAACAGATGAGCAGCTGCGGCCTGAGGTCCAAACTCCAAATTAACACTTCCCATACAAAATCATGGATTATTTCCTCCCTCCAGCTAATTTTCCTCTTTACCATTCCACTGAAAGCCACTCTATTAACATCAACAGTCACTTCCCAGGTATGTTTATTTACACTTAGCAGCATCTCATCCTCCCTCCTCTCAAGCCCTGGCACTCCCCACACCCTCATCTCTCCAGGACACCACAGCCTTTCCCGGGATATCTCCTGAGGAAAAGCTCCAGGCTGTCCCTCCAACTCCTTCCATGCCCAGTATCTCCTGGACAGCCTTTCTGCTCCCCAGCCCTTATCTCCAGCCCCCAGTTTCCACCTCACGTGGCCAGTTTGATCCCGTGCCAAAGCTGCATTTCATTACTCCTTTTTCCCTTTTAAGTGATAAAAACATGACGCAGGATTAATTTTCAAACAGGATTTTTAACACAAAAATATCCCTTTAAGCCACACCCTGACTTAAAATGACCCCAGTGCAAGGAGACCTTTAGAGTTTAAAGCATTTTAGTTTAAAGCTGACTCCCAGCTCTGGCTCCAGCCCTGCCATGATAAGGAGCTGTTCCCACACTTCAGGATGAAGAACAGATGGAAAAAGTGGAGGCACGAGCCAAGAGGAGGGAAGAACACGAACACCTCCACAGGACCTGCTCAATTCCATCTGATCTCCAACTTCAGAGAGTTTGGTTCCCAAACACCAGTGAAGAGGAACTGTATTCCAGCAGGAGCTGATCCACAGCAGGATTCTCCCCAGCCCCTTCCAGTTCAAAAGCAGGACACTCACAAACTACCCACAACACAGGAGCGAGACAAGATTCCAGAGATTTAATGGAAATTAGTGGGATTTAGCATCACTAACACACCTCACCTGCACCTGGAACCCCAGGGGGTTGTTGTTTGTTTGTTTGAATTCAAGATTTATGAGACACCTTGGAAATGCAGCTCCTCACTGCCAGAGACAAGGAAGCAGGATACAGAGTGTGGAGTGACAGTCCAGGAACGCAACTGCAGTCTCCCAGCTCCCTTGGGATATTTTAGGCAGCCAGCCCTAAAGAGATCCAGAGCTGTCAAGCTTTAAAGGAAACACCATTTTGATATGACCTGGAGTGGGGCAAACTCAACCCACAGTTACAAAAAGAGGAGGTCACCCTTAAAACCAGAGATGAATTGAACAAGTCCAAGTCTCTGCAGTGCAGGATGCAAGATATGTTTCTATGAGGTAATGTATTAGCTCTAAACATCAGACATCCTTTTCCCCCTGTGAGGCTGCAGTTGCAGATGCCCTCTGGAGATAACAGCTGGCACAATACCACAAAAAAACCCAACGTGCTTTGGTGCATTAGAGCACAGGCCAAGTCGTGCACCTGCCCAGGGTGCCAGGGCTGGATCCAGTGGACACCTTTGGTGAGTGACTGGTGCTTCCCTGGGACAGCTGCTCACACGTGGGCACTGCAGCCCAGGCACTATTTCCAGGGCAGCATCAAAATCTCTCCTTATGAGGCAACACAAGCTCATTATTACACTATTTTGGAGGTAAGATTATCTCAGCAATAAGCTCCTTTCTTAATGATATGCAAAACAGATTTACCAGGGTAGAGCCAAGAAAACGAGTCTCAATATCCACCTCATCTCTTTCACACACACTCCCTTCCTCCACCTCCTGCAATCTTCTTTCCCTACCTCAGTGGCGACAATGACAACAAATAAAATTATTAAATAAAAAGAAAGCCACTGATCTTTCAACCAAGACTTAATTTCACGCCCAGGGAAGTTTCCTGCAGGGAACTCCCGAGCTGTTGTAACAGCAGGAATATTCCTGGAAACCAAGTGCACTAATCCCTGCAGCAGAGCTCTGGGAACTCTCCCACTGCTCGGAATGTGCTGGAGCTCAGCAGTGGCTCGTCCTGTGAGCAGCCTCAGCCACAACACCCTGTAACCAGGAGATCAGACAACAAACCCACAGCACAGGGCCTGATTCCCCTTCCTCATCCACCCCCGGCCTCACCCCTGATCTTGGCTGTAATTAAATCCCTCATGGTTTTTCTAAAGATTAACAGCAATTACTGAGGCTCCTCAGAGTTCTCTGATGCCATTTTCACCTGCTACAGATCAGATTCTGACATAACATGGGGCCAGAGCAGGTAACTCAGCAGTCTGGGCTGAGGGCAGAAGGACTTGCACTACTCGCTACTCAGATTTAGATTCTTCCAAAAGAAGATTCCCAGAGGGAATAAACTGATCTCCGACCTGAATACACAGACATGACCCACCACTGTGCTCACGGTGTAGAAATAGAACCACGAGTTCAGGTTGGATGGGACATTAAAGCCACTCCTTCCACTATTCCAGGATGCTCCGAGCCCTCTCCAACCTGGCCTTGGACACTTCCAGGGATCCAGGGGCAGCCACAGCTTCTCTGGGCAACCTGTGCCAGGGCCTGCCCACCCTCACGGAGAATAAGAACTAAAAAAACCATCTGCTGAGCAACAGCACCCTTTGAGAATCAGCACGAGGAGAAAGCTTGTCCTCAGCGCTCTCATGCACACATTTGCGAGGTTTTAATAGAAGAACAGGGCGCTGTCTGCAGTGCTGGCACTGACAAGAGCTGACAGACAGCTAAATAAATAAATAAATCCAGAAAGGCTACAACACTCAGCCTCTGTATTTCGGGGGAAAAAAAAAGGACAAAACACAATGAAGAGGCTCCATCCAAGGGAGGTGACGATTCCCCATCAGTCGATGCCACCGTGAGACGGGGGTTGAGCCCTTCCCTGCCGGGAGAGGAGGCAGAGACACAGCTCTGCTCTTTGACATCGCTGAGAGCCTTTAACCCCTGCTCGGCTCTGGGGGAGCCCGGCCGGTTGATCGGGCCGGTTAAACGGGGTTAAACGGGGTTAAACCGCCCTGGCCCCGAGACCGTCCTGTAACCACCGGCCCCTTCAACCCGCCCCGACTCCTCTCCCGCAGCGCCCGGAGCCGCTTCCCTGCCGGCTGGTCCCTCACACCCCCCACGACCGGCCCCTCGTAACCCCCCGCCGCCCCAGAGCCACCACCACAGGCAGTCCCTTAGTCCCCCACCACCTCAGACCCACCCCAGCCAACTCTTTACATCTCCAGACCGTCCCCTCGCAGCCCCACAACAGCCTCAGACCCATCACCCCCGGCGGTCCCCGGAGCCCCTCGTCGCCTCCCACCCACCCCAACCGCCCCTTTACGGCCCCGAACCGGCTCCCGCGGAGCTCCGGTCCCTCACCTGAAGAAGGGATCCTCCTCGAAGCATCTGCCGAGCCCCCCGAACATGGCAGCGGTCTGGGCGCTCTGCGCGCCCCCCGCCCCGCGCCGCCCCTCCTCACCGCGCCGCGCGCCGCCCCGCCCACCACGTGACCGCGCCGCGAGCGCTCCCATTGGCCGCCGCGCCGCCGGGGGGGCGGGGCCTCCCCCGCGCGCCGCCGTTGCCGGGGCAACCGCGGGGCCGCCGCTCCGGGAGCGATCCCGGGAACGGGGAACCCCCGGGAATGGGGAACCCCCTGGAATGGGGAATGAGGGAAGCGGGGCCGCGCTAAGCCTCGGGGTCTCCCTCCTGAAGCCCCGCTCTGCCCCGTGAGGCTGCGGAGGGCGGCCCGGCCCGGCCGGGCCTGAAGAAGAGCGAGGGGCGCAGGCCCGGCCTCAGTTCCTGCCTGGACAATTTTAAAAATAATTCTACTTTTCCCAGTAGATGGCAGTAAAATAATAAAGCTGCGGCCCCTCTGGCAGGAAAATGAAGCTGCGGGCTCCTGGAAACAAGCGCTGGCCTCTCAGCACGACTGGAAAGCATCAGGAGCCCGCCCTGGAATATCCATAAAGAGCTATTCCAGGGAAACAGCGCTGAGGACGCACCGAGCAGCAGGGAGGGGGATGTTGGGGCCGGGGTTACCTGACACTGCCCTGACCAGGCAGATCCTCTTTCCAAGGCTTTGTGGTGGTTCACTCCCTGCTCCTGAACTGCACCAGCCTTGGGAGAGGGAAGGGCTGGGATCACAGTTCAACAGGGAAAAGGAACCCTGGGCTCTCAGCAGGGACCTTAATCACGGAATCACTAAGGATGGAAAAGACCCTTAAGATCAGCCAAGTCTAGCCACGACTTGATTTTAAATACAATATTCTGGATGGTCTTTAAGGTCCCTTCCAACCCAACCCACTCCACGATTCTCTACCTTTGCAGTGAATCTGACTATTTTTTTGTGGTAAATTCTTGCCATCTTATTTCAGGACTAGTACAAGTTACTGGTCTGGGTGACTGTGAAGAGCTATTTAAATAAAATATTAATATAAATGTCATTACACACCTACCTCCTGTTGTTTGCAGCAGAATGATGCTTTCATCTGACACTTACCACCAATTTACAACAAGCTGCCTTTGCACTGGGCTGATGTCACAGATGGAATTAAATCAGCTCTGGAACAGCACTGTCCAAAGGCCTCTCCCACTCAAAGCACACTTCAACCTCTGGGAATTGCACTGCAGCTCTGAGCCCACCTGGGAAGGAACAACTGGCAGGGCCAGGAGGCCTCACTGATGCCAATCCCTTCAAAATGTGAAGAGGAGCTGCTGATGCCTCCAGAAGTGCAGGGACTGAGCACTGACTGTCCGAGTCCTCTCAGGTTCCCTTCAGCCTTGCTGCTGACATTGCTGGGCAGCAATGGGCACGCAGCCCAGGGCTGCTCACAGCCACCCTCTGCTCTCATTTTTTTTCCAAAATAGCTGGAAAAAGACCTATTTTTAATACCCTGTGCTAGTTCTCAATAGGTGGGCAAACAGAGAAACGTTTCCTACACTGCTGGAAGTCCCGGGCTGCAAAAAAATGTAATTAAAAAGCAATTGTGTAATAAAAGGGTTTGTTGTGGGGTTTTTTGTAACAATGAAAACTCTTCTTGACAATTAATTGTTGCCCAATTAATTGAAACCAGCCCTGATCTGAGCTGGATGTTGTGAGAACTTGTGCACTGAACACACTTGTTTTGCACAGGACTAATTGGAACCTGTAATTGATAATATCTGCTCAAGGAGCAAGAGTCATTTTTAGCTTCAGAGGCCAAGAGCCCGAGGCAGGGAAGACCTTTCAGATTAATTCCATCGCTTGAGCAAACACAGGATGAGCTGAACTGTGGGCACAGGTTTTAAACAGTGAATAAAAGTGGCTTTTTGGTGAAAACCAGGTGAACTTGGGTGTGGGTTCCTGTGGAAATGGGCTCTTGGAGGCCCTGGGGAAATCAAGGTGTGGGTTTTTATCCATTTTTCATCTTTCTTTGTCTAGTTTTTTTCCCAGCTTGAGGCTGTGGCCAAATTCTGGGCCCAGTTTTGGTGATTCCCTCTGCTCCACGTGTGCTGCCAAAGGTTCATCAACCCACAGTTATGCACACAATGGCAACATTTAAACAAATATTCGTTCTGGATCAAGTCCCGGAATCAATGATCAACTCTCCCCCCCAGGGACATATTTCAGCTGGGTTTGGGTTCTGGTTTTTTTTAAGAATATTCCTGTGCCTCAGTTTGCGCTTGGCTAAACAAAACCATGGAGATGAGATAGAGGGGAACGTCACAGAATTAGGGCTGACTAAAAGAAATGCTGGTTCTTCTGGCAAATGAAGCTCAGGAATTCATTGCTCCAAGATGGAATTAAAGCCAAGATTTGAAAAGCAACATCCCAACTAAAAAGAAACAAAAGTTTATCCTGGCTGTCCTGGCCACGAGCTGGGATGCCAGTGATGTCACACCCACGGGCTGTTGGGGACATTCCTTACAGAACATCCAGCCTGGATAACTCAGAACCACTGGACACCACGGAGACATCCCACTGGTGCGGGCTGGAGGAAGCTCCTGAGCAGGGAGTTGTAAATGGCAGCTCATCACCAGCCTGCACAACTTGCTGACAGCTCTATAAATACCCGGGGCCGGCGCGTGCTCGGCCCGGGCCACAAAACGTGTTTCTTACCCTTTTTTTGGAGCTGCAAGTTCAGGGTCAGGAGTTTCCCTCCAGCCAGGAGTCCCTCCTGGGCTCAGGAACAGGCCTCTTTTATCAGCTGCAGAGACACAGCAGCAGTTTTTAAGGACAATCCCTAATTCTCCACGGAGGGCGGACACAGGAGTGTTTCCTATCCCCAACTGTTGGGTGGGGAATGGAAAAATTGGGAAGAACAGTGAAATAAATGGCTTTTTTTTCCCTATAAAAATGGTTTGCATCTTGCCTAAAATATGGTTCAACTTCCCCAGTTAAGGCTGCCAAGATGCTCCTGAGGAGCTGTTTTATATTTGATCAGAGGCAGAACAAAAACCACCTCTGGTCACCAGCACCAGGTTTGCTCTGATTGCTCCATTTCCCTCATTAGGGTAATTAATTAACCAACTTTCAAACCACCCATGTCAGACCTGGACACTGAGAAGATGGGCTCAGGATTCACACTGGAAAAATCTCCTGATAATGAGCTAAGGAATATTAATAATATTAATTATTTCTTTTCTCCTTGTTTCTTCTTTCTGTGTGCAAACCAGTTAATTCTTTCTAAATTTCCTCCTTGATTTCCATCTGTATTTATTTTTAGAACAAGGGAACTTCATCATTTAGTCCTAATAATGCCATATTTGAAAATCTAGCCAGCAATAGGTGTCCAGCCCTGGAAAAGGTTCTGGCTCCCACTCTCCCAGCCCAGTTCCTGCCTGGCACTTTGCCCATTTAAACACATATCCAGGAATGCAATTTTCACCTCCAGGTGTCAAACATCCCTGCTGCCTAAAAATAATCCTTGTAGAGGAATTAGAGTTGATGATTGCCCAGACAGAGAGGCAGAAACATTCCTGCATTTCTCAGCAGTTGCACCGAGTGCTTTCCAGAGGTTTTAGTCTATTTTATATAAACAATTTGATCACAATCAGGGTGGGTTTTTTTCAGCGTCCCTATAATTGACTCTGGAGGGAACACAAAACACAGTCCAAAGGGAAGTGGCTCTGGAAAAAAAGCCTCCCAGCATGAAGAGTTAAGAGGAGCCAGAAGGGTTAGGAGGAAATGTTTGGGGCAGGAACCCGAACAGGGATCTCTGGAATGGAGAGAGAACAAGAGAATTATAAATACCAACAAAACATCAACATGGCAAAATGACCTTTTGTTCCAGATGAATGTGTTCAACAGAGCTCTGAAGTCTGAATCAGATTTAAACAGTCATATCACCAAAATGAATAAGAATTAAGAAGGTAAATTAATTCCTAAGGGAAATCACTGTAGATCTCATTAGTTCAGGAACAAGATACCTTAAAACTTTTAATTAAAGATAATATTTACTGCAAATGAATAAGAGTTGGCAGGTTTCAGCAGAAACCATAATCTCATTTATGCAAAGTTTTCTTCTATTAAGGCAGACATCATTAATCTCACTGGAGATGCCCTCCAGACTGGCAGAGCTGGAGAGGTGATTTCTTCCAGGAGTCTTTTTATCTGCACCAAAGAGCTGTAACAGGAGCAGACACACCGTGAGAGGGGCTGAGCAATTAGAGGGGTCTCTGTGCAAACACAGCCCCGCCGTGTCCCTGGCCCCGACTCCCATAATGAGCTCCTGCCAAGGGGCCCCTGCAGCTCCCACCATCCCAGGGCTGCCAGTGGAGCCCAGCCCTGCTGCTGGCACTGAACACCCTGCTCCCCTCCAGGGCTGAGCTGCTTCTTCTAGAAAGGGGAGGCACTTGGTGTCCCCTCAGCCCGGAGTGACAATTCCAGAGTGACTCAGTGGAACTCGCTCCCAGTGTCACCTAACCCAGCCCAGCCACTGCTGCTCCTCTTTCCAAAGGGAAAACAAAGCAGGCAAAAGCTGCCCCGAGCCCCAATTCCAAATGGGGACTCTTTTAAATTCAGGTTAATTGTATTTTTGGCGGTTTTTAACGCTGTTTCGAGCTGCAGAGTCACTGCAGCCCCGTGGGTGAAGCCACAGGTTCAAGCCCATCTCTCCTCAGACAGGTTTCTGGAGTTCAAGGATCTCCACTAAAAATAACCCCCTTCTTGTCAGCTGACAAAAGTGGAATCATGAGAGGGCTGGTTTTGGGTTACTGGTGGACTCTGGGATCATCCAGTCCCGCTCCCTCAGAGTGACTGAAGCAGAAGGAGCAACACTTGATATCCTGGCTGGCAGTGTCTCCTTACAGAGCATTATTTGAGCTGCTGTACCAACAATAATAATAATAATAATAATTTAAAACCCAAGCACAGCTCCTTTGCAAGCAATTTTCCCACTAACAGGTAGTTGTGGAGGTGCTGGATGAGCCCAGGAAGCAGGAAGGGCCCGTGACCATTTCACCTGAGTGTTCCCAAGCCCAGCCATCCCAAGTGTGATGTTAATCCAGCCTGGCTGCTCCCAGGCCCAGGGAAATGAGTTTCCTAATGGAATTCCTGCGGGGAGAGCTCTTTGCTGACTGCCAGGAGTCAGGGCTCCACTTCCAGCATTCTCTTTCCATCCCTGCTCTCCGTTCCCTGAGCCCCAGTTAAGGCAGTTTGGCATTAGCAGGAATTTTGGGTATCAGAGACAGTCCTGCATGACAAGACCACGTCCCTGCTCCCTGCAGGCTGCAAAACACGGCTCAAATCATCACTTTTACTTGGAAAACGAATGAGCAGCTGTTTCTTTCCCCTTTTTCAATCAGGAATCTCTTCCCTTTCGCCAGGAGCACGGAGCAAGGTGGGGAAATACAACCAAAAAATTAAACTTCCTCTAGGGAAGAGCCCTCCACGTGAGAACAGCAGAAGAAATCAAAAGCACAGAAACTAAAAAGTAGGATTATTGTCCAAGATTAAGATTTAGGAGACTGGGACATTTATTCCATGAAAACTGCAGAGTCCTGAGGAGTTCATTACTGTGGTCACTGAGCTAAAACTGGAACCAGGAAAATCAACTTTCTCACAAATTGCTCCACGTTTCCAAGGATGGCTGGAATATTTCAGTACCTGTTTCTGTTCAGCTGGGATTATTTAAATGCTGTTCCCATTTTCTTTCCAGCTCTTGCTCCCAGTTCTCCTCCAGCATGGACTTGTTGATTGATAAGCAATAAATAGTATTTACCACTATTAAATTATTATATAAAACATAATATATACATATATATTTTATATAAATAAATAAATAGTAAATAAAATATATAAATATTGTATTAAATATATCAAACATTACTACAATTAAAGTCTGATTTACTGACTGGTTTGTAGTATTTTCTAATATTCCACGGGGCTGCAAAAAAAAAGGAATCATTTTGCATCCAATAAAAACACCAAAATTATCCAACATAACGTGTGAAAAACAGGAATTCACACCTGTACCTTCAATGGAGATCAAACAGTTTTTATTTTCTAAGAAAGAGACATAAAAGGTGATTAGGAAACAGAGCAATGACAAATATTTACCATTTGAAAATGCTGAAACGAAACAAGGGGAACAATTTTCCTCCCACATTTTCCTGCAAATGCCTTGGAACATTTTAATGCAGGATAAAGTAAATCCAACACTCCAAAAAGAAAGTAAAACTGTGTCGGAATGCAAATTTAACACAGTCTCCTTTTACATCAGGAATCTAAAACAAAAACCAAGACAACCAAAGCACATTTCCAGAACCATCCTCTATTTTTTATCACCACAGGGCTGAAAATAAGGAAAAAATAATCCCAAAAAGAGAGCCTCACTCCCATGGGAATGCTGAGGTCCATCAATGAGTGGGGGCTCAGTTTACTCCTTCTGATGGAACAGTTCTCTCACAGCTCTGATTGAAGAAATTCTTCCATATTTTTATTTGATTTGGTTGATCTCCTGCATTCAGTTGGATTTTGGACAGATTTTTTTTTGGAAGTTTATTCAGGCTAAATTCAGATGTTTCATTCCCATTCAGAGTCACAGCAGATGGTCAGGGAAATGTGGGACATTCCTTCCCACCCCAAGTGAGGAACCACGAGCAGGGGGATGAACATCCATGGAGAAGATTCCCTCAGCCAGGAGCCTGATCCAGGAGCCAAGGGGAAGAAGGAAGAAGGGGTAACAGTGACCCCCCACCTGCCCTGGCTCCTGCTCCAGCTGCAGGAGATGGATTGGGCTGGGATGGCCTCCGATATCCCGGAAAATCCGAGCCCCACCTCGTCATTCATCTCCCCGCTGCTCCCTGGTTATGCACAACGTGTGGATTGGGAGGGATACAATTCCATCTCCTGGGGCTGTCAGGTGTTCTGCACCCTTGAGGAATTCCCCATGAAATAGGGAATGACCCTGCTGTGCTGTCACACTCCCCACAGCGACACCCTCCATGAGTTCAGGAGAGAGCCCAGACACAACAGCCCTGTTTGTTCAGGTGAAACACTTACTGTCTGCACAGCTCAGACTGAGTGTGCAAATCCCTCAGGAGAGGAGAACAGAACAATTGAACGCTGGGATTTCCTGGAATTGGTGGAGAACTGGCTCCTGATGTTGCCGGGAGCTGCTCAGGCCACGGGGCTGCCCATGAGCCGCTCCTGCCGCAGGGCCACCAGCCTCTGGAACCACCTCTCCTCAGCTTCTGCCTTCTCAATGAACAGCTGGGGACAGGGGGGAAAGAGGGACAGTTGGCACAGCTCAGGAACTCTCAGTTCCTGAAATATCTGGGGATTATTTCAGTGGCCCAAGGGAAGAGCTCAGCTGAGCACGGAGTTCAACACAAAGCTGACGTCAAATGGAAGGAGAGACTTTTCATGGAATCCCAGAATGGGCTGGCTTGGAAGAGACATTATTAATTGGAAGCAAAGACTCCAATTTCCAATTTCAGAAGGGACACTGAACACCACAAGAACTGGAAAGCAAAGACTCCAGTTTCAGTCTCCTGAAACAACAAGTTCATCACTGCCCCCTGTCCTCCTCTCTGTTAACTGGGGTCATTATACAGAGCTCACAGTCATTTATTTACTGCAAGTCATTTTTAACTGGCTAACTCTTAAAAAACCTCTATGCAAATCCTTTTACTTCCAGTTAAAGTGCTTACAAAGGAACTTGTTTCAGTTTGTACATTTAAAGCTTTACAAGTTGACAAAACAGGCAAATGAAGTTCCCAGAGCACGGATCGCCTGATGGCTGTGGGGTGGTGTGACCCTGCTCTCCTTCAGCTACAGATAACTGTGGGATGAATATGAGTACACTTACGTTTGGGTGTGCTAAGGAATTGTCATCCTGGTATTTGATGGCAGTGGGAATGCTGGCAGGGGGAGGTTCTTTCTCAGGAGCTGCTGCCTCGGCGGTTCCTGCTGTGACAGTCACGGGTTCGTGTTGGAGCTCGGGAGGTTCTGCCACCTAAAAAGAAACAAACACCTAAAATTAAAGCATTTTATCCTCAAATTGCCCACAACGTGGCAGGGGCTGAACTGAGCATTCAGTTGTCTTCCCATTGCAGCTGTGCCCACGAAAGGATCCTCATGGGAATACTCCTCCGTGTGCTTGGTGGAACACACTGGACATGGACAAAAGTCCCAGGATAATCACAAGAAAGTACTGGCCAAGGCAAGGAGGGAGCCTAAAGAACAGGAATGAGGGGTTCTTGGGGCACTTTCCGAAGAAGCTGCATCGGCTTCTTGGAGATTTCTGGAATGGTAAGAAAATGAACGTTCCTGGGAAAATCAAGAGTGACAATTCCAAACCCCTCCCTGCCAGGTGGGAAAACTGAACAAAGCCTTGCCTTGCACACTTCCAAAGACAACAGCATCTGAGTTGTTTGGGTGGTCAAAATCCTGATAAAATTGCCAAATCTGGGAAAGGTGAAAACCAAGCTGGGTTCTTTTCGGGGAGTAAGTGTGGTCCTAAAGTCTGTCTCCAGTTAAGCAGAATTAAAGATATTTCTCCCTTTAATTACAGTGTAAATGTCTGATTCCTCTGGGATTTTAATTCTTCTGCCTTACCTCAAAAAGGTCTTCAAACCTTTCTGTTTCATGAAACTCTTACCCATGTAAATGAGTCCTCTGAACCCACCCCAGACATCGCAGAGCGGCCGGGGGGGTTTAAGGTTGTCAACATCGATGCCCTTTCATCAGTGGGAACTGCCTTCATGGCACAGCTTCCTGAGAGGGTTGTGGGGCAGGAGAGGAACGTGGGAATATTGAAAAGGTACCTTTTTGACTTCTTTGCTCGACCTGAAGGTCTGGGGGACGAAGGCGTCGCTTTCGATCGCTTCGATTTCCTTGACTCGCCTCACTTGGTCCACGAGGGTGGCTTGGTCTGCAAGGGCAGGGGGGGTGTCAGGGGGCTTCAGTGCAATCCTGCCATCAAACCCTGCCCAACAGGTTCCCTAAATATATTCTGGAACATAGCAGGAGAATCCCAAGGGGTGATGCAGCCTCCATGCAGGAGAGCTGGAGAGGGACTGGGGACAAGGCATGGAGGGACAGGACACAGGGAATGGCTTCCCACTGCCAGAGAGGAGGTTTAGAGGGAATATTGGGAATTAATTCCTGGCTGGGAGCGTGGGCAGGCCCTGGCACAGGTTGCCCAGAGAAGCTGTGGCTGCCCCTGGATCCCTGGGAGTGTCCCAGGCCAGGTTGGAGCAACCTGGGCTGATGGAAGGTGTCCCTGCCCAGGGGATGGGCCTGGATTGGCTTTAAGGTCCTTCCAACCCAAACCATTCCATGATTCCAAGATGCCAAGAGCTGTGCTGCAGAAAAGCCCAGAAGTAAAATTTAATCCAGTTTTGTTTTTGGTTTTGTTTTGTTTTTTTAATTTAGAAGGAATTAAGCTTGTGTTTAAAAGTTGCCTGGCTGCTGCAGTCTGCTCCTTTATAACACATTCCTAAGGATTTTTTGGGCATAACCCAAATATACCAACACCCTGCTGGGGACAGGGAGTCACAATCCACGGAGGTTTTGGAGCCCCCTGGTCTGAGGGGAAATAAAGGGACCCTGATTAAAGCCAGGGATCAGAAAGGCAGGGAAAGGAGATTTCAAATCAGCTGCTTGGCTGTGGTTTCACAAAATCCAGGCCAGTTCCACGATCTCCCACGGATCCTGCACAAACTGATGGGAATGACAAATTAGGGGGCAAAAATGCCTGAATGCTCCCAATGACATCAGGGACATTAAGGGGGTAAATGGAATGAGGCAGCACAGCCCATTAGTGCAGGACTTGTTTGACAAACACATTACGGGGAGATAAAACGACTTCCAGATGTTGTTTGTCAGCTGTCAGTAGGAAGGAGATGTATTTCATAGGAAAATCAAAAATAATGGAGTCAGAAAGCTAAGAGGCCTCAGACAAAAAAAAATCAATACTAACTCACTGCACGGAGTCTTTTCACCCTGTTAGAGGGGAAAAAAAAAGGAATTAAATCTTGGATTAGGGCTTGTTTGGGCTATTTTTTATCAAAAGGTGGACAATTTCCATCCTTGTCAGCAGCTCCTTCCCAGAGCTCCGTGGCTGAGGGGGCCTTTCCCAGTTCTCCCAGTCATGGGTTTAACTGGGAACTCTGTCCTTCAGAGTTAATTCAGTATTCTACACTTCTATATTTATATCTAGTTTTATATATATATATATAAATAAACACGTCTTTTGTAGCTGCTAATTTCATATTGAATTAGTCTGTGTGAGCAAGAACATGAAATGCCACTTTAAAACAAGAAATTTGGATGAATTCTTGAGCTGCCACCCAAACACATCACACACACAATAATTAAAGGCAGCAGAGAGTCAGATAAAAGACAAAGAATCAGAGAATTCCACGATTCTATAAATCACATAAAAGAAGAAATAACTTCCCTGCAAGCTCTGCCTAAAATATTCCCTTTTCTTCCTGATTTTGAAAGACAAAATTAAGCCCACTAAGAGTTTTAAAAGCATTAAATGCCCAATAATATCTTGTGAATGATCCATTAAATAAAAAATATCTTTTAAATATTTCTTGGGAAGTCTTTAGGTGTAAATTGTTATGGATTCATTGCTCACTCCAAATCCTGACCATGAACGTGAACCTAAAGAGTTTCCTTTCAAGCAGATTTAACTCCAGAATCAAAGCAACAACACAACAAACCTCGAATATCCCCCAGAATCTCTTTCTTCCTATTGCACTAATTAGATTTAAGGGGTTAATTTAACTGAGCAAATTAAAATGTAATCCATTTTGGGGTAAAATGCTTTGAAAGACAGAAAAAAAAAAATCGCTGCTTTTCTCCCCCCCTGCTCTTCTGTTTATGAGTTTGAAGGAAACACCAACAGATCCCAGACTAAACAAACCACTGAGGAAGAAAATATTTTCCCTTTGATCCCGTTTTATTTGGGATTATTGGAAGTGTATTTTTATACAACTGCCTTACAGAACTGTCTGTTTGCCAACAGAACTGTTCCCACACCCCCCCTGATTTTTAATTGATCCCAGTTTTTACTTAAGCTGCACAAACTGGCACGTCCCAAGGAAAACTGAAGTTTTCCCTGGACAATCTGCAGGGGGAGAGGAGGCAAACCCATCAGGAATGTCCCTGGAAAAGCCACTCCCTGGCTGTGGGAGGGGTTGGATTCTGCAGGGCACCGCGCTGGGATATTTGGATTAAACCCCAGGGAAGCACTGGGGGCAGGAGGGCAGATCCAGCAGAATTGGGGTCCCCTTTCCCAGTGAAATTTCACCCAAAGGTGAAAATTCCAGTGCCAGTGGAGACAAAATCCGGAGCAAATCAGCCTAGGAGTGTCCTAATCCCACAAGCTTTTAACACAACATTCCCTCGCGCCCCCAGATCCCTTCTCCTCCTGTCTCTCCAAGGTCCCTCCAGGCCGGTGATCCCCCGGGAAGCTCCCGGGATCTGGTGCAGCCCATCCCATCCCATTCCCAGCTGCCGTTAGAGGGAGGCACCTGCACACTCATCGAGCCTCTGGATCCTGAGGATGCTCCGGGCTCAGCATCCCTGCCGGGACCCCATCCCGGAGCATCCCGGCCTCGGGATTAGCTCCCAACCCAGCCCTTATTTGTGTCCCTCCCCCCAAATTCATCAGAAGTGCTTTAAAAACAATCACAACGTACTGGAGGGGCAGGTTGTGAGGACTCCAGAACTCACTCCCTACAGGCAGGGCACAAGATTTACAGCTAAGCTGGAAAAATATAAATTAACAGGGGAAAGTATGCCCAGGCTTGTTTTAAAATCCTCGAAGTCTTTTATTTTTTTTGTGTGTGTGTTTTTTGTTTTGTTTTTTGGTTTGGTTTTGTTGGTTTGGTCTTTTTGTTTGTTTGTTTTGTTGTTTGTTTTGGGGTGTTTTTTTTGTTGGTTGGTTGGTTTGGGGTTTTTTGTGGTTTTTTGGGGTTTGTTTTGGGTTTTTTTTAATCCTGTAATTTTAATTATCATTAAAACATATTAAAATAGCATTTTGTGAGTACTTAGTGCTTACAAGAGAGTAGCAGAATACCATAAATTTTGCCATTTTATTACATTACAGTGATAATAACCTCATTTCCAAGGATTTTAAAACAGCTCTGGACCTTAATGGCTTTTCCTTGAAAAAAATGGGAGTCCTGGCTATAAAATCCAGCAGAAAACAGGCTGGGAAAGTTCAGCAAGTGAGCTCTGAGCTCCCAGCTCCACGTTTTTCTGGGACACAAAGGCAGGGGCTGTAACTCGATGCTCAATTTACCCTTGTCTCGTAGGAGATTTTCCCCCGCTAATTGATAGAAATTAAGCCATTAATCAAGGCCCCAGCCATCATTCAACCCGGGGAAGATGAATCCAAACTTTCATCATAACCACCTTCCCCATTTTAGTGTTCATTAGCATTAATTTTTAATGCAATTATGCTCTTCTTTTACGCTGAGCTCATAAATTACGGCTCTTTTGTTGCTCGCTGGCCTTGTAAAAATCCAAGGTAATGCTTTGTGCTCTGATCTTAAAGGCAATTACTGGCTGCCTCTATCTTTTCCATCTCCCCATCCCAAATAACCCCCGTGTTGCAGGTACAGACTTCACCAGGGCAGTCCCGACACGGAGGTGTCTCGTGGAACGATTTATCCCCGTGAAACCCACACCTGGATCTGCTCCACACGGGCAGGGAGAGGATTCCTGCTGCATCCAGGGATCCCCCAGCACGGTAAATGTCTGTCTAGCACCAATAAAGCAAGACACATCCCTAAATTCCCATTTCTCTAGGCCTCAGCCAGCATTAATGAGGCAATTCCCAGTTAAGCCTCATTCTCATCCCATGGATTCACTCCCTGCTCTTGGAAAAAACACCCCTGCACATCCCCTGGGATAGTGGGAGCTGTCCCTGCCCATGGCAGGGCTTGGAATGGGATGGGCTCTGAGGTCCCTTCCAACCCAAACCAGTCTGGGATTCCATGATAGTTTTTTCCTCATTTACAACCCAACTGGAAAACTTCTCTCCCCTTTCCATTTCCTTTGGACAAATCCAACCCAGCCCCCTCAGCTGTTGCCCACAACCAATATTTCCTAAATCTCTGTCACCTCCTCGGGCTGCACCTTTGCTGCTTTTTAAGAGGTTCAGGAGATGACAGAAAATCAGATTTTTTTTTGCTTTCCAGGAGGTGACTCCCATCCTTTCCCTGCCCATTCCATACACCCCTGGTTATTTCCTCCATACATCCCTGGGTATTTTCCCTTTTAGAAACAGCTTTCCAATAAGTAGCTATAAATTTCTGTTTAAAATGATTGCAGTCAGATAACTAATTACCTGATGGGCTCCACAATCCCATTACCTGCCCTATCCTTTAGCACTAATAAATGCCACGAGACGACAGTAAAACACACAGCACTAATGAAGTACAGAAGCCATCTCTGCTCCTCATCTGTCTGAAACGCTGAAGACAATTTCAAGACTTTTAATTTGTTAAAAAAAAAAGAAAAAAAAGCATAAATTTCCCCATTGGAGAGAGACCATAAATTTATCTGTTTTATAGCAAAGCTTCGATTAGACCTGTTGCAATTCCTAAAATAAAATAACTCAAATGTACCAGCTTAAAAAGTATTTTTGTGTTCATCAAAGATCCGTGGAATGGGTTGGGTTGGAAGGGACCTGAAAGCCCATCCCATCCCACCCCCTGCCATGGGCAGGCACATCTCCCACTAGCCCAGGCTGTTCCAACCTGGCCTGGGACACTTCCAGGGATCCAGGGGCAGCCACAGCTTCTCTGGACAACCTGTGCCAGGGCCTGCCCACCCTCCCAGCCAGGAATTCCTTCCCAATATCCCATGTAAACCTCCTCTCTGACAGTGGGAAGCCATTCCCTGTGTCCT